GAGGAGCTACCATCCAAACACAAATCAATTATCAATGAAATGGAGATCAATAAGATGCTATCATTACATCCCAATTTCACTCGCTATCATGAGATTTTATCTAGCAAAGGTGCCTATGGTATCGTAAAAGACCGTATTCCACAATCCAGCTCGCTAGGTCGCTTTATCAAGTCTATCGACTACAAATGCGATGGCTTTGTCTCCAACGAGCACCAAATCAGAAACCTCTTCTTGTCCTTGCTCTCGTCTGTGAATTACATGCACCAATGTGGTTTTGCTCATCGAGACTTGAACACACACACTTTGTCAGTCTCAACAGACAACTCCCAGCTCATGTTCACTGACTTGAGTCTTGCTTGCAAAGCCAATAAATACGGTTTTGCTGAAGCTCGAAGCCATATCACACAAATTATGGTTGATCTCTACCAACCAGCAAATTCCAAACTTGCTGCTCCTGAACTCCTTTGTGGTGGCAATTCATCCGACAAAATCAAAACTGTCAATGCTATCAAAGTCGATGTCTGGTCAATAGGCTTGCTTTTACACCAATTGGTTACTGGACATCTTCCGGCCTTGGAATCTGATTTGAAATCTGACTTAACTCAATCTCTCAAACATGCTTTGGTCAATGAAGATGTCATAGATTTGGTCAATTTAATCTTGGATCCAAATCCTGACACCAGACCTTCATTGCTTGATATCTCCCACCACAGATGGCTAAAACAGCACTCAAAAGGAATTTTCAACTATGCTGCTCAAAATATCAAAGTCACCTTCACCACTGAGAAATACGGTGAGCTATCTCAGTTGACTAGAAATATCAACGAGATCATCATCAGCGAGTCAAATCAGGACTACAGAAATGATATGCTTCAATACTATGGTATGAACAAAAAGCATTTCTACCTTCCTCAGCTTCCCAAAGCACATCCAGCTCACCATCACTACCAACACCAGAATGTGCCAGAATTGGAATTTGCATCAACTTCTGAATCTGAGCATGAATCTGAATTTGAATCTGAATCTGAAACCGAATTGGAGAGTATGTTCTCTCATATTTCACTACCAACATCTACATTTTCTGGTCTTTCTAAGCTTTCTCTTCTTAAAGTTCCTGATTGCAAACCTCAAAGTAAAAGATCTTTTTTCAAGTTTTCAAAAGCAAATGCTGCTCGTGTTACTAGTNGTTACAACGAACTTTTTTAAACTGCAAAACCAGTTTTCTTAATGTGCTGTATTGTTTTTTTAATGTGTTATATTTATTGTTTTTTAATATATTATATTGTNTTCTTAATGTGTTATATTTTTTGTCCTCTTTTTGTTCTCTTTATGATTATTTTCCTATTTTCATAATGATGAATTGTTTTTTCATTCAACCTAATCTTCCTAATTATTAATCTTCCTAATTATTAATCTTCTTAACTATTAATCTTCTTAACTATTAATCTGCCAATATTCTTTATCATTTTAAATTACTAATATTCCTAATAAATTATTTAATTATTCTAAATCTAAAAACTTTCTTTTTCAAACATCATTTAGTTTTCTGTTTATGTCAAATTCAATCTTTTGAATGAAATTCGAATATTGTCTGAATCTCTAAAAAAATAACATTGTATTGAATAACTATTATTGTTCATTGCTTTTTTTATTAGTTAACTGAAACAGATCTATTCTATTATCTCTTCTTTTTATTTATTGACTATATATTTTAATAATCTCAATCATAAAAAAACTAATACTCAATTATTCAGTAGTTACATATAATTATTTGAAATTGATTAGCATATTTCAAATCCGAAGTTTATTATTAGCTCATGTTTTTCATTTGAAAATTAATAAATACATTCAAAAATCCATTTTATAATCTAATAATGCAGTTAGTGACAATAGAAGTTGGTATGTCATTTAACTTTTTTTGTTATTTAAAATTAGTTAAAAATTGTATTATACTTGGAATAAATATTGATTACCTAATCTATTTTTATGAAACGGTTTATTGATTTAAACAATAAAAAGCTTTTTCTATTTTTTTTACATTTAATATCGTAATGGTATAATAGCCAAAGTAGGAAAGATTTTAATAAAAATATAAAAATTAAACAATAATAAAAAATTTAGTATTTCTTCATTGTCTAATACAAAAATTATGAAAAAATACATACACAAAAAAGAATTGAATAGAAAAGCTAAAAAATAAACTATTAAAAAAAAACACCTTATCATTTCTAGAAAAAAAAACAAAAAAACAAAAATAAAAATGAAAAATACGAAATAAAAAGTAAAAATTCAAAAAAAGTCATTAATTATTAATATTGCTGTCACTATTATTATTTTTATTATTTTCATTACCGTTGTTGTTATCATTTTTATCACTGTTACCATCAGTATCAGAATTGTTATCGTTAATGACAGAGTTATTATCAACTTCTCTTCTTGTTAAAACAGCTAATTCATATTCATACTGTTCAAGGAATGCTTTATCATCTAAGGATAATTGATCGAGAGACATTGAAGATAATGATGGGGGACCTCTATCTGGCGCTAAGGCAAGCTCATAACCTAATTCGAAAGGCGTTAAAGTAGCCAAATCAAGTTGGGTTTTTAGGTCAGTTGTATTGATATTATTTTCTTGATTTTTATCATTTATATTTTTAAAATCTATTACATTATCAGGTTGATGTTCCAAGTTAAGACTGTTTCTATTAGATGTATTCATGTTATTTGAATTTGAATTTGAGTTTCTATCTCTTAGATGCAAATTGTCAAGAATATTTCGACTCAAATCATTTATATTTGCTTCATATATCACACCAGGTCTATCACCCTCCAGAGGAAAATGATATGAACGTATATATTCAGCAATACTTGGAAAAAAACTACCTTGAAGATTTGATGAGTCACTGAGTTCCTGCTGGTTATCACTTGATATGGGGATTGATTGCAGAATATCATCAACAATATTGGTATCGTTGTTGTTATAAATATCTTTATTTTGATTGTCATCATTTCCAGTAATATTATTGGAATTGTTACTGAAATTTTTTGCATTTTTGTTGTTATTTATATTCCCATTTTCCGAGTCATTTATGGCTGGTTCCTGATCTTCTGCAATAATAGGTAACTGGTTATTTAATCCATTATTGTGTTGCATATAAATATTGTTAGTGTTATCTCCAGGATAATTATTGTTGTCGTCATCCGAATTGTTATTATTATTATTATTATTATTATTACTATTGTTATTATTGTTATTGTTGTTATTATTGTTATTATTGGATTTTCTTTTGTCAAAAAACCATAGTCTAAATCTTTTTTTTCTTTCTTGAGCAATTTTATTAGCATTTCTGTTTCTATATTCTGATTTTCTTGCTAAAAATGAGGGAGATTCCAAAGCATTTTTACAAGTGGCATACATTTCATCAATTTCTTCTAACTTTAGACCTTTAGTCTCATAAATGGCAAAATAAGAAAAAACAGCGCCAGCTAGAGTTAAACCACCCCAAATAAAAAAAATACTTGTACCTAAAGCAGCGGTATGATTACCTTGATCTAATAAATAAGGAGTAACAAAAGCAAAGGCAAAATTAAATAGCCAGTTAGTTCCAGCTGCAATTGATACACCTTTTGCACGAACATTTAAAGAGTAAATTTCACTAACATAGACCCAAACAACAGGACCCCAAGTGGAAGCAAAAGTTGCTATAAAACAACAAACAAAAGCTATCATGATTTTATTAGCAATGACAGAGTTTGTGGTGACCCCAACTATTGCAATGATTAAGTTGAAGATCGACATTAGTAGAGCACCATAAATTAAACATTTTCTTCTACCGATGGTTTCAACCATAAAGATACCAGGAACCGTCGCTACAACATTAACAGCATAGGTGACAAAGGATATAATATAGGAGTTTTGAACGCCGGAGTTTATAAAAAAATTGACTCCATAATAGAAGACAAAGTTTATACCAGTTGCTTGTTGTAGAGCTTGAAGACAAATTCCAGTCATGATTCTTAAAAACTGTTTACTATGGCCTCTACCGCTTTTAAAGATTTGTAAAAACGAGTTGATTTGAATTGAATCTTCGTAATCATGATTAGCTTTAATTTCTACGAGTTCTTCAATTATTTCGTAGTCTTCAGCACTTAGTTTTCTTAAAGTTGACAAAGACATTGCAGCTTCGACTATTTTGCCCTTTTTAACGTAGTATCTTGGGGATTCAGGTAGATAGTACATTCCTATACTTAATAAAATAGCCCAAAGGGATTGCAAGCCTATTGGGATTCTGTAGGAGCCAGAATCATTTCTGGAATGAGTGCCCTGAGCAACACCACTTGAAGCTAAAAATCCCCAAGTAATAGCCCATTGATATAAAGAGACTATGGAACCTCTAACATATTTTGAAGATACTTCAGATTGATATAAAGGTACAACTGCACTAATTATACCGAGACCAAAGCCGGTTACAGTCCTTCCAACACATAAGATGGGAACATTGGTAGCTACTAACTGTATAACTGTGCCGATATTGAATATTAGTAAAGTTGCTAATATGATAGTCGATCTTCTTCCAATTGAATCTGCTAAAACAGAGGAAGATAAAGCACCAAATAAAGTGCCTAAAGAGAGGGTAGCAGTTGTGAGGGCAGATTCCCTTGCAGAGAAGGATTCATGGTTTTTAGCAAAGTTTTCTTTGACATAAGTCATGGCTAGCACACTATTACTTAGACCTGTTTCATAGCCATATAGAAAGCCACCTAGAGCAGCAATTATACCAACAGATGTAGCGATTAGAGAACATTGTTTTTTAGCACTTATAATTAAAGTCTTGACAAATGGATAAATGGATTTATTCATTTATGGTTATGGGAGCAGGATAATAGGCAACTTGTGATTTATTTCTAGAAATTTTTTTTTGTTTATTGTTTTGTTTTTGATTTGATAATTTAATAAGGAAAATAGAGTGAATTGGGTAAAAAAACAAAAACGATAAAGTATGCACACAATTGGGGAGTGAAAAATGAGTGGCATATACAGGAGAATATGTGGATGCGAAACAGACAAGCGAGTAGCAACGAGCAGGAGTGGAAGCAGAAATGGAAGAAAGAACAGAAACAGGAATAGGAAGATAATAGGTAAATCGATTTGGATAAGAGAGAAAAGGCAGCAGTATCAGTATGGCAACATGGCAGAGATGGAGAGAATAGAGTTGGGACTTAATGAGACAGCATCAAGAAGAAAAGAAGAGAGAAAAGTTGGAAAAGGCAGAAGATCGGCGAAGGGCCTGTCGCACACCCAAAGTGGAAGGGGTCTACAACCTGGCATGTGATGGGCCCTTCCTAATGGGGAAGGCGGTAGTAAGTGAGAGTTAGGGAAGAGAAGGTTAGAGAGGTATATAATACAGCTGTAGAGAGACTAGAAGAAAGTCTCGTTGCTGGTGTGGGAGTAGAGGTAGGGAGCATGCTTTGGCGGAAACTGGGAGGTCGGACTAGTTTGGGTTTTAGAATCGTTTTTTGAGCTGTATTCCAGCGAGAATTAAGCTTTTTTTAAAATGGACTCAAGGTGGTTTAGTATTCTATGGAACGATAGCAATGATATTTTTGCCACAGACAATAGTTTTAGGTTTCTTAAACTGACTTTGGGACTGGCTGTGAGATTTGAGCCGAAAGTGTAACTATAATTGGAACAGCACGAGTTTTTATGGCTCAATTTAGATATAAAATATTTATTCTTGAGAGAAATAGTTAGGTTTTCAGGCAAATTGAGCAAAATCATTCGAATTTCAGATTTTATTGATGATGGTAGACATCTTGAAGAAAAGTTGGATAATAATGATATAACAGTTTTAACAATATTCGATACGTTATGATAGTGTATTTTTTCAGTCTTCACTTTATTGGCACTGTTAGTTGGTGGCCTTTGTAGATTATCAATTGCTTTACTTAGTATTATGATTGAGATTTTTAAAACTCTAATTAGGTTTTTAATGTTTTTTAAACTTTGACTATTTTGGCTATTTTGAAAAGCTTGATAATTTTGATAATTTTGACAATTATCTTGAAAATTTAGTTTACTTAAATAAGATATTAATGGTGAAATTGATTGAATAGATAGTATTTTAGATAAACCATTTGATGATCTTTGAAACACCGGTTCACTGCTTGATATCAGAGTTTCTTCATCAACACTTGAACTGCCTTCATTATCTGTTTCATAAGCCCATTCACTTTTTATTTCAATGTCGTTCTTTTCGCATTCCTGGTTATAATCCAAGGCAGAAAACTCGTTGTCGTTATTTGAATTGAGTAAGTTTTGAATCGCTAGTTTATTTGGGGAGCGACTATTAGCGTTCATTATTTTCAATTTGATCGTATGGGTTGTATGGGTATAAGAACAAGAAAAAAGAATACTATTGAAAGTCAACACATTGTACTATATTGAAAATATATTCGAAATATATTAGAAATATATTAGAAATATATTACATCTGATGTTTATAAATAAAAAAACTGCATCATTTTGCCCAAAACACAATTTTGCTATGAAAAAAACAACATAAGCACATAAAATTGTTGGATATGAAATTTAAATTAGCTTGAGCCTGATAAAAACTGACTAACGCAATACTACAAAACTGAAGCTGATTAAAATTGTATAAATTCAGATACAAATCTAACAAAATTCTTCTAAGAGTCCCAACAACCCAAATTGAAAGATCCATTGGTTAAAAGCAGCGACTATTCCCATCCAGCATCAGCCGTACTTACAGCAGCAATATATATCACATGCCGTTCATGCTGCTCATGCTGCTCACATTGCACTCATTGCACTCATTGCACTCATTGAAGACGTCAAAAGTGCATCTTCTTCGCAGCTTAGCGTGGTTCGAACCGCCAACCGCCGTCTTGCCCTCCTTCACCAGCATAAACTGCGTTTGCTGCTTCCTTCGCTCTTCCCAGCATGTGAAGCTCCTCCCGAACACCTCTTTCCCATGTGAAACTCACCCGTTGTGTTCTCCACCCGGGCGCTACCCGCTTCGGCAACCCTTCCATCGGCCTCCAGTGCCGACTTCCAGTGCCGACCTGTACCACCGAGATACATTATCCGTCTCTGTTGCCGACCCCGAGAGCCGGTCTCATAACCCGCCGCGCTGACCACCAATCACAGACCCTCCATCGGAGATTAGTCAGCGTTCGCGCATTTACCGATGTCGCTTTCCCTAGTGTTTGTGGAGGAGACACTTCTTTATAACTACGCACTCTTTGCTCTGATGTTGTCTGTTCTCTCTAACTATTCTTTTCTGCTCATCAGCTCTAACCACAAATGTTTTTCTCATCTACAAAGAATATCTGTCAATCTGTTTTAAGACACCCTCTTACATCTCGCACTCGCCTTAATACTCGTCTCATAACTCCTGTCAAGCCTGCTGCTGCAACTTTCATAAACAAAAGACTATTTACCAGCTCTTCTGTCTCTTTCATATCAAGTGCTACAAAAAGCAATATCATATTTAGAGAAGCAAGATATCCACATAATGAAGTCGAAAATGAAATATATGAAGATATCAAAGAACTAATTGACACAAGAATCTTGCCTACCATCCAAGAAGATGGTGGGGATATGGAATTTAGGGGTTTTGATTTTGAAAATGGTGTTGTCTTTGTCAAGTTGAAGGGTGCATGCACTACTTGTTCTCTAAGTGAAAACACTTTGAAAAATGGTATTGAAAAAATGCTTAGTCACTATGTCGAAGAAGTTAAATCAGTCAAACAGGTCTTTGATCCAAATGAGGAAATCGCATTAAATGAATTTGCTAAATTTGAAGAAAAACTCAGAAAATCAAAATCTGATCAAAATAAATTGAACCATTCTCTATAAGAAAGAATCATCCAAATCAAATTATCAAATATAACAATAAAATTCTATGGTTTTATTTTATTTGGTTATATCATTATTCTTTTAATTTAATTTACACTATTAAATTCTAAACGCTTAATCAATATTCTGTCTACTTTATTTTTTATCTTCATTTTCATTCTTCTGCTCGTTTTCATTTTCGTTTTTTTATTTTTACCCATTCTTTTTCTTATTACCTCCTATAGTTTATCATTTATATCTTTATTCCATATTCATTCTGTATCCACTCTATATCCACTCTATATCCACTCTATATCCACCCTATATCCATTCTATATTCTAATCCATTCTATATTATCAATCAAATAAACAACATAATTTAACAATTGAAACTAAAGTCTTCCAATGTAAACAACGCTATGCCCTGCAATATCATGTAATATGCATTACTATGTCATTACTTCACCTTTACCTGATTTTTATTGGTTCGCTGCTCCCCATCACTTTCTCAACAATTTAACCCCAATATTACTCCATTTTTTTTTATTTTCTGTTTTGTTTTTTTGTTTTTGATTATGAAACCAACATTATTTACTCAATTTTATCTTTCTTCATAGTTTTGTTCCGTTGGAGTTACCCTCTGTTTCTTTTTCTTTATGCAGTCCGAAATATACGCATAGACGTCTGTTCTTCTGTTTCCTGAGGTGTGTCAATTGTCAACTTAATTCTTAATTCCTTTTAGTTTTCAAATCTTCATCAATCCAACAACTCACCCTGCTTTCTTTATTAATGCTGCCTATTTTTTTTAAATTTTGTCTCAATGTTATCACTCTTATTGTCTTGATTTTTATTGACCATCGTTCGTATTTATCTTATTTTAGTTCAACCTTCTCTCACATACTGAAAAAAGAACTCACGGGTTGCTCTCTCTTGCAAATCCTAGTTGTTCTTTTTTCTCACCATCCTCCCTCCCTCCTTCCTTTAACATTGGTTCAATGTCTGTTTCTCTCTGCTATTCCCGATACCACAGATCTGCTCATGTGACTATTGGAACGCTCTGGACGCGGTCCTGCTTTACACTGCATGAGTACCACTGTTTAAGCTCTTTTGTACTCTTAAAACTCCTTAAGCTTTGAATCTTCTTTTTTTTATTTTCCAGAATCTTAAATTCGACTAATTGAAATACAATCTTTAAACAGTCTGTAGACAATCAAAAGACGACCAAGAGACAATTAAGAGACAATCAAGAGACACCTCTCAGACAAATAGTGGTCAAATATTGGTCAAATATTGTTCAAATATCATAAAAATGGTAGACAAAAATGTTAGACACAAATGTTAGACAAATCCTACAAAACAATCTCTCTTAATACTTCCAGTAAATCAACAATCTCTTTATCTAGTTTTATTCCAATGAAACCATTATCAACTTCTTTCACGTATTCAATTTTGAACAATTGGTACTTACAAATTTCTCATATTCCAATTCAATCTGAAGAATTGAACCATACATATCCACCTATTTCTATCTCCTAATTTCTGTTTTTAAAACGTTTTTAACTAACATTTCACCTTTTAACAATTCCATTTTATATCTAATAATATAATTTACATTTTTTGCTTTTATATAATTAGAAATATACATTATGATATGTATACTATGAATATCACTACAATCGTGCATCCTTTTCACGAATTTTATGATTTGTATTAATTAATTAATGAATTTCTGTTAACTTCCAAATTTTTGTTAATATTCAAATTTGATAGAATAATGAAACCCTTTTAATATCATCTTTCTTCTTTTCTTTTAAATATTATTCATCTCCCTTAGTTTTTTTTTGATTTTATTTTGTTTCATCCTTATTTGTTTCATCACTTTTTGCTATTTTTATTTTATTTTGCTCTTCTATCATTTTATTTTTTACTTCTACTTTGTTTTCCTATCATTTTTTTATTTTCTCAACCTTTTCTCTCATTTTATCTAGTATCGTCTAATTATAAAGGGTTATAATATAACTTTAATCTATCACAACCAACCTACTCCCATTTACTTTGGCCTTATACAATTTCATACAATTTCATTCAATTTCATACCAATATATCATTCAAATTATTACTGGTTATCATGAAGGAAAAAATGAGCTTTGGAAATTTCTTATCCTATAACAATGAAGCATCTTACATCACTTACAAGAAAGCAAAAGATGGTAGTGCAGGTACTCCTCTGTTCCAAAGTTCTAGGGCCTATAAAACCAGCTATTCTTCTGATTCAAAACACTCTGGCTCGAAGGGATCATCAACTAATAAATCAAGAGAAGGTTCATCAAAGAATTCAAGTTCAAATTCTAAAAATTCAGATAATACATCAGATAAAACAAAGAATTATTTAAGTTCTCTTGATCCTAAAAACAGATTAGCCTCTCCTCACAGAAGCACTCCAATAAACGAATTAAGTTCTGTTCTCAATACTTTTTCATTTGATAACAACAACAATAATAATAACAATAATAGCAATAACAATAATATAAGCAAACTTAATGGCATAAATAGTATTTCTAATTCTCCTAAAGCAAACAATTATATCAGAAGGACTCCATCAATAAGTATATCCGATCCAAGCCCTTTAATTAACAATATCAATGGAGGTAATAATAACATTAATTCCATTAACAACAATATCAATAGTATCAATAATATCAATAATATCAATAATATCAATTTTAATAACAATTTCAATAATCTAAACAATAATCTCAACAATTTCAATAATAATAACTATACATTACAACCACCTAGAAGATTTCACGTTGATGATGAGATAAAAGAAAAAACGGTTGAGGTACCGCACTTTTCATCTGAAGAGATTAAACTATTAAGATACTCTTGGAATAATAATTTGCTAAAAGATATTGACAAATACATTTCTAATGAAGATTTAGATTTAACCTCAATTCGAGAGAGAACTGAAATCTTGAAACAAATGGGACTTGAATTTGGTGAGCCCTTATCAGAATTGTTTGCATCAAAGAGATTTTGGAGAGAAGTTTATGATTTTGTGTATGACATGAACCCAAGTCCGGAATTTAAAGCAAGTTTGCCATCGATTGCTCATCAAGCGAATTCATTTACAAGTATTTTCAAGCTTGCAATTGGAACTTTGGAGGATTTAAGTCAACTATCAGGGTTTTTAGAGTCTCTTGGTAGAAGTCATAGCAGTTTATTTAATTCTGATTTTCAAACATTTGAAGTAATTGGAACAGAGATGTTGCATGTTTTATCATTAAAATTTGGACCAACATTTACAGAAGAATTACAAAATGCCTGGAGCAAGTTATATTGCTTTTTAATAAATACAATGATAGAGGCTTTAAATATCAAAGTGTTTACCGAACAGGATTTATTATCATTGTATTCGTCAATAAGCAATGAACCCTCAATAAGAGCCGAAGGTGGTAGCATAATAAGTTTAGACAATTCATTATTCACCAATGGATCAACACCCAGCATATCTACATCAATTGATAGCTCAGTTAATAGTAATATGATGAATAACATTGGCATGGATATTAACAATAATAATAGTAGTGCCAATCTCAACAATTATGCTAGGGAATCAATAATTTTAGGCAAACCATCAACATTTGATACCTATGGGAGTAAAAACCGTAATGTTCGAGAAAGCTTATCAAGTCAATATAATTTAAGCTATTCAAATAACCATAGTCATAATTATAATCATAACCATAATAACAATAACAATAATTACAATAATTACAATAATAATAATAATAATAATAATAATAATAATAATAATAGTAATAATAATAATAATAATAGTCAAAATATTAGTAATAATAGAATAGATAAGTTCCGTAATCATTCCAATAACAATAATTCGGCAGAAATCAAACCATCAATACAAAAATCAAGAAGTACGATAAAGATATTATCGCCTACACCATTGGAAATTAACGAATTAACAAGAATACCAACAAATTCAACTATAAAAACAAATGTTAATGTGAAAAAGGAATTTACACTGGAAATTCATCAAAGTCGTAAAAAGAAATTTTTTGGAAAATTTTATTAAACTATTATGAGAAAAAAAACAGTAACATTTATCTTTGCATTTTACTCAAATATCTGCTCATTAATTATAAATTTATGTTTTATTGCTTTAATTTTTTTATTTTTTTAACGCTTTTGATGTTGTTTTTGTTTTCTTGATATTTTTTTGTATCTTTTTGTATCTTTTTGTATCTTTTTGTATCTTTTTAAACATTGTTTTCTCACGATGTTCTTTTTTTGAATTGACATTTTTGAAATTTTTATTTGTACTTTGTATTCTTGTTTTGTTGCTCAAATTAATAAATGCTGATTATAGATATGTAAGGCTCAAACTGAACTGGCTAACTGTGGCCCAAGAATCAGGCGAAGAGAGTTAAAAAGACAAGAACTAGTAGATAAGTCAGAGTCTAAAAAAACTTAAGAGTTACAAGAATTACAAGAATTTTAAGAATTTCAAGAATTTCAAGAACTACAAGAATTCCAAGCCCATGTTGGTTGTAAGATGATGAACTAGCTCGTATTTGGAACGACGCATCATTCAACTCGCCAGAAAAGTAGCTAATATCAGTTTGAGGGAATGGCCCATTGGCGAGAGGCCGTGAATAAGAAGGAGTAAAACGTTCTGTTTTTGACACAGAGCGATAGCAGTGAATAGTGTTGTAAAACCACGAGCCATCTCGGCAATTACAGCAGTCAAAAGAGCAGCAAAAAAAGGTGATGCTGGCACGAATTTTTGTTCCAAATTTACATTGAATGTGCTCTAAATGTGTTTGATAGCTCTCAACAAAGGCAACGTTAATATAACGCAGCAGGATTGATATTGAGATAGCGATGTGGACACCACTATGTGTAACTCTGGCAGAGCTCCACTCTGTGGTGGTCAATTGGCACCAGAAAGCAGCCAACAGTTTCACACCAGAGCCTTGACCATTGGGCTATTGGGCTATTAGGCTATTGGACTATTGGACTATTGGTGTTTTGATCTATTGGTTCTTCCCCAGATCTAAAGATTGCTCGTTCGCGCTGAACCACTCTCATGTCACGCCGCCGTGGGTGCGTTTTCTTGCGCTCTGTCTCAGAAAGGTCTGTGCCGCAAAAAACCCGCAACAACAGGATTGACCTTTTGGGCTGGCTCAAAAGCACAAACCACACGACTGGATTTCATGCACCACGGCTGTATGGTCTGAGATGTGCGTGGATTGTGCATATACATGCGTGATCTCTGCGCCATCGAACTCTGTTCTTTCTGTGTTTTCTTTTGGAGAAGCTGCTTCACCATCGCAGGTTCTTTGAGTCTTCTGAATGGTGTTTGATGGAGATGATATATATCTCTTCTTTTTCTTTCTATTCTTTTCTGATTGTTTATTACAAGTCAGAGTCCTCTCTTCCACTTTGCCAGATTCTCACTCGCTGTTATTTCCTCCTATTTGCTATCAATTGAATTTTGCTTGATTAATCAAAACATAAAAAATATATACTGATTACAAAATATCTCAAAGTAACAAATAAAAAATATATTCTTAGTTCAAATCCAGAGTGAATTTGAATTGAAACAAAACACACGAATTAAAAAAGGCCGGTTCATTATTAGAAGATATCGATTTATTATGAATACCCTTTAAGCTGTTTCAAAAGATGTCAAATTTATTATTCTTAGCTAACCATGAACAGACTGACAGATTTATTCCAAGCATTTCATCTCATCAAGTCTATCGTGCTCTACCAGACAACTTGAATAATAACAATAAAAATTTCAACCAAAAATTATTTCTTTCAACTTTACCTGACAGTAGCTTTTTTGTCAGACCAGACTTTTTTTTAGATAATTACAACAATGATAACGATAGTGACGGCAACAGTAACAACAATAATAATAGCAACGGTAACAATAATAATCCAAGTAATGATATCAGCGATATAATTTCCTCTAGAGCAGCTTCCCAAACTGCTAGTTCACTCATTCATCATAATTCTTCAAATAATAATTCAAATTCAACAACGGATAAATTAAATCATAAACTAAATTCCCTGAAATTAACTAAAAATGTTATTATTGCTGAGGCGCTAGGATTCCCACCCCAAAGTAGAGTATTGAGTTTTAATCTATCCAAAATTAAAATTAAAAATAAAAATAATTTCAAAAATCAAAATCAAAATCAAACTAATTCAAAATCAAAAAAATTTAAAAAATCATATACACCAAATCCTACTTATCAAAACTCCCTTATTTTACCCAAAATTAGATATTCCAATAATCCAAATTCAAGCCCAAGTCCAAACTCAAACTTAAATCCAAATTCAAATTTAATTAAAAAAAAAAGAATTAAATCTCATATCCCTTATAGAGTCCTTGATGCCCCAAATTTGAAAAATGATTTCTACACAAATTTAGTAGCTTGGTCTAGCAAAACTGGTAAAGTTGGTGTCGGCTTAGGAAATAACGTGTATCTATGGAATGAAGAATCTGGCGCAATTCCTTTACAAACAATTGACTATGAACAAGTAATCACTGCTTTATCCTTTTCTGATAGCATCTTCTTAGCTGTTGGCTTGAAAAATGGTAGAATCCTTTTATATGATCAAAATCAGGAGGTTGTTCAATCAAATTATTTGAATGTTGATAAAGGTATTTGTTGTATCTCTTGGTTATTTGGTACAAAAAAATTCTTTGTTGGTGATGAAGTTGGTGATGTATTGCTTTTTGAAGTTGTCGAATCAAATAACAGCCATTCTTTATATGATTTGAAACTTTTAAAATCTTTCAAATGTCATCAGCAACAAGTTTGTGGTATTTACTAACCCTTTTCATTTTCTTCTTTTTTATGATATAACGTATTCCTTATCTAACATTTACTTCAGGAATTGCAATCAGTAATGATCTTAAACAAGTGGCTATTGGAGGAAATGATAATTGTTGCACAATTTGGGATGTTTCTGATTTAGAGAATCCAAAATTGAAGTTTTCTTTACCTCATCAAGCTGCTGTTAAAGCCATTTCATTTTGTCCTTGGTCTAATTCTTTATTAGCAACTGGTGGTGGAAGTAAAGATAGAAGAATCAGGTATGAATTCATATTTATTATTAATATTATCATTATTCAATACCATATAACTCAGATAACCAGAATATTAACAAGTTTAACTTATTTTAGATTTTGGCATACAAATTCAGGAACCTTATTAGATGTAATTAATACCAAAGGACAAATTACTTCTTTAATCTGGTCGAAAACTAAGAAACAAATTGTTGCAACTTTCGGTTTTGGTGATTCTGAAAAACCAGTCTTAGTAGCTGTTTATAATTATCCCAAAATGCAATCTTTAGTTCAAATCCAGGCTACTCCAAATTTAAGAATTTTATCTGCTGTACCTTCACCAGATAATAGCTCAATTTGTGTTGCAGCAAATGATGAAACTGTTAGATTTTATGAATTATGGAGTGGTAATCCAGGAATCGTTCCCGAAGCTCAAGAATGTGGTGTCTTTGGTAGTGATTTAATTGAATTATGTGAAGGAATCGATAAAGGTGGTGATATGATTAGATAATAAATCATAGTAAATCATAATAAATCAACAGATAAGAAACTAATACATGAACCTTAATCTTATAAAAAAACAACTTTTTTTATACAATAGTAAATCAATAATCTTAATAAAACAATGGGCTTTTCATTTTTAAAACTTACAAAACATTATTTGTAAACTAATCTACCGTTTATTACTTTTTTATTATTTTACAAACACCACCAATAAAAAAATAAAAGATTAAAATAGGAAAATTTAACCTGTATTATATAGAATGAAAAAAACCAATTGATGATAAAATTTAAATCGATGTAAATGAATTTAAATTATGTTTTTCTTTGTTTAATTTTTTTTTTTGCTTTTGCTTTATTTTTCATTTTTCAAAATTTAAATTTCAAATTGCAAATTTTGTTTTTGTTTCTTGATTTATAATAATTTTCTGATGTTTTTAGAGATTTTATTTATTAGGGGAAAATTTTATTTAAAAAATTATTATTATATTTACCATTTAGTAGTTTCTTCAGTAGTTTCAGCCCAGTCAGCAGTGGCAGAAGTTTGATTCCAGTCAGCTTCAGCTGAAGTAGCCCAATCAGTTTCAGCATCAACAGCTGGTTCAGTAGTAGCGGTTTCAACTTCTTCCTCAACAGCAGCTTCTTCTTCAACAGTTGGTTCGACTTCTTCAGGGTCTCTGTAGAAATAAAGATCAGGCATAACAGACCATGGTTGTTCTCTGTCAGGTAAAGTACCTCTTAAACGCAAAACTTCTCTTGATAATAAATACCAGATCAAACCAATTGAGTGTTGACCTTTATTGTTACATGGAATAGCAACATCGACGTATTCAGATGGAGAGTCCATGTCAGTTAAAGCGATAACCGGAATGTTAACATAAGAGGATTCCTTAATAGCTTGAGAATCAGTTCTTGGATCAGTAACTATAACTAATCTTGGTTCTTTGAAAGAACGAGTAATATAGTTGGTAAAGTTACCTGGAGTGAAACGACCAGCAATAGCAGTGGCACCAGTGTGAGCAGCGAATTTCAATACAGCTCTTTGACCATAGGTTCTTGAGGAAACAGCAACAACATCAGCAGAGTTTGGAATAGCAGCAATGATTCTTGCAGCTAGGACAATTTTTTCCCAAGTTTTACCAATGTTAATGATGTTGACACCATCAGCACGGGTTTTGTAAACATATGGTTCATTGTGGACCTAATTTGAAAGAGAAATCGGTTAGTATACTAAGGCAAAGAATAGTTTTAAAGAGATCATTTCATGAAGATGAAGAATAGAAAATGATAATGATGAGAACATAGGTATTAGATTATAATGGGGATTTTTTTTCCGCGTTTCTTCCTGTTTATTGAATAAATCAAAAGAAATTGATAAATTGATTTCAAGTAAATTTGTGTATCTTTATTTCTAGTAAAAATAATCTTATAAAATATTATAGAAATTATAAATTTTAATTCAATTGAAATAAATTATTTTTTTTTTTTTGTAATTCTGAATCATATGAATTTTTAATTGAGTAAATTCTACGGTTTTTAAGTTTTCAAAGAATCAATAAGTTATAGTTGAGACTGTCAAGAAAATTGATGTTTTCGTCAAGTATTTTGATTATTTATAATAAATTGTTTTTCTTTTAACTATTTTTTTAATTGACAATTGTAAATAATATACTAGACAAATCGATATCGAATCATAGAAAATGTTGATAAGACACCTTTAATTTCAATAAATATTACAATTAACAAACCGATTATTTCCAGGAGTTGAATTGTTGATCTGATGTTTATCTAACAAAAAAGTGATGCTCTTTTCCATCTAGTTTTTCTTCCAGTATATTCTTCATATCATTGACACTTTTTGAATGCATATTTTGGATCTGGTTTTCGCACATTATCTGTCGCTTTCAATCCACAAAAAGACTCTTTGAATAGATGCTCTCTGGATGTCTTGTATTAAAATTTCACTTACTTGAACATTTTTGGTACCCAAGTGAGTGTTGGCAGCTAAAAACAATTTAGCGTCTTCTGGGGTTAAATCAAAGCTGGCTGGTAAGGACATTTTGAATATTCTTGTATTATATTATATCTGGCTTATAATATGATGGTCAACCCTTCTTCTGAACTTTACCTGTTAGTTATAACGAATTTCTTCAGTGTAATATTTCAGTATATTAAGCTCGCCAAATTTTTCCAGCAGGTGATGCACGTGCGCTGGGCGAGAGAAAGCGAAGAAGAGCGAAAAATAAACCTCTGCGGGAGTCGGAGGGAGGGCGCTGACCAGTGCGTGTGGTTACGAGCGCAGTCAAAGCACGCCAGTCAGGTGGTGTTATGTAGGGCTCTAGTGATAGTAGGGCTCTAGAAGCGACATTGCACCCGCACTGCTGGCTCTGCACCCTCGGCGATACCTGCACACGCAGGTTATCGGACATAACTGCGCTGCGCAACTCGCAATATCTTCAATAAGTTCCGATCTGCGAAATGTCATTTCTCATCTCTGATCTGCCTTTTTTCAGCAATTTACACCCAGATGGGATTTCATCACTGTTATCAAATCCATCGCTGCGTTGGGCTTTTAGGCCTGGGATGTCTTACTTTTTGATCCATTCTTACTACTGATCACAGTTTCATCCAATATTTAAAACAGCTCCTGTTAGTAATCTCAAACTCCTCGCGTGTATCAACCAATGATTCACTGGTTAGTTTAATAGAATTCCTGCTCGTAGCTTATGGTAAACTGTTCTTCAATACTGGTCGCTTCCATCAACCTATTAATTTCATTATCCATTTTATTATCCACTTCAATTATTAATCTTACTAATCTTCCTCACTCTATTGGTATTTATGGCTCTTAAATGATTTCTCATCCTGTTTTCTATTTATTTGATTAGCTGGTCCTTCTAGTGTTTTTTTTGTTCTTTTTAGCCTGTGCCTTCTTTGATAATCATCAGAATATTTAGATCCATTTCTACCCATCTACCATAATCATATTTCTAAATATAAACTTACCTCCATACGTTTTTTAATTCACACTATACTATTTATTATATCTTTTACCACCACTAATTTATTTCCTCTTGGTTATTGCTATATGATATTCTGTTAAATCAAATTAAAAATGGATGAACTTCACACAGACTCATTTTCTTTGCTTCCTCATTATGATTATATCTATAAAACAGATCCTGTTTACAAAAAATTCAGAAAACTAATCACCAAAAACTATGGTCTTGCTTCATTATTTGGTTCTTTATTTATAATAATATTCTTGTATCCTCTATGGAATCACTTAATATTTAAATATTCTCCTAAATTCAAATCTCTTAAGAAATTATTCAAATACAAATTATTCAACATTATTTTTTTTTGGTCTCTTTTCTCATTATTGTTATGTTTCCCTCAAACTTACAATGACATGTCCTTCTTGACTAAAAGATTTGGTAGAGTCTCTGCTTCTTTATTACCAACTTTACTATTCCTCTCAATAAGACCTTCTCCCTTGCCTGAAACTTTATACTTGGCTTTATTACCAATCCACAAATGGTTAGGTAGAATAATAGTCCTATTAGCCATTTTTCATACTCATACTTATTGTGCTTTATATTTCCATTTAAATAAATTTAACAAAATTTATAAACTAGAAAACTTGTATGGTTGGTTTGCTCTCTTGGGTTTTCTTTCCATAACTTTATCTTCTTTGCCAATTATAAGAAGAAAATATTTCAAATTTTTTTACATTAACCACTATATCTGGACCTGGATTATAGTTGTTCTAATCAACTTGCATTCAAGACCAAGTGCCAACTTATTAACTTTTTTAAATATTGCCATACTAACTTATCAAATTTATCATCGACTAATTCATTCTATCAAGGTTAATATCCAATCTTTTAATCTATCAAGCAATTTAAAAATTGTTAAAATTTATAAAGATGATCAAAATTTATCAAATTTCTTTCAATCAAATCTACCTGGCTCTCACCTAAGAATGATGAGGTATTATAAAAATCCCTTTAAAAATCTCTTTTTCAGATTCATAACTCCCTTGGCTCATCCTTATACCATTGCTTCATTACCAACTGACAATTCTATTATTTTAATTATAAGAAATTCCAAATTCGAATTAAATAACAACTATCAATATTATATTACTGGCTCATATGATCCTGACTTTCATTTTCTCAAATATACTGATAATAACAACAATAATAAATTTATTGATAAAATTAGCAATAAATTAAGTAGAAGTAATCAAAATAATAAAAATAATAAAAATCAAAGATACAAAAATATCATATCTTTTTGTGAAAATTACGAATCTTCGGCTTCAAGAGTCTTGATGGTTGTTGGAGGCTCAGGTATCTCTTTTGCTTTACCATTATTAAGAGTCTTAAGTATTAAAGGTATTGAGTGCAAAATTATTTATGTTATTAAAGATGTTAAAGATTTAAGAATTTTCAGATTTTTCAATTTGATTGATTTAAATTCAATTGAGGTTTATATAACTGGTAAAAATTTTCAAGAAACCGATTTTTCAAAATTAAATATCGACGATTTTGATGACGATCAACCTGATAAAGATTTCAATCATTTAGAAAATCAAGAACAAATTTCCTATTTGTCGGGATCATTAACTGGTGTGGATTTCAATAATTATGGTTCTATTAATGATTTAGAGACGAATAACGATTATCAAGAATTTGATTACACATTTTTTGAACCCAATACTACCGCCACCGCCACCACTGCTAATAACAATACTAATATTGCAAATAAAAATTGGAATTTGAAATCTCCTAGACTAAACAAAGAGATTCATGAGAACTCGATAACATCAAGCATTGCAGAATCACCATCCTCTTCGATGTTAAGGAGAATTATCTCTATTGATGAACAAGATTCCGAGTCCAACTTTGATGATGATAACCTACAGGGCACAAATGCTGATAACGTTAATATTAATATCGACGAGACATACAATTATGAGGATAATGTAAACGTAACATGCCAGCTGGAATCTACTTTTAAGCAGAACGATAATATTGCTGGTGACAATGATGATAACATGAAAAAAAATAATAATCATAATAATAACAATAATAACAATACTTTCCAAAAGAAAGATAATATAATTAGTGAGGGATATGGAAAGAACCATAAAGATGTAAAGGTGAAAAAACCATTACAGCGAAAGAAATCCAAGATTGTGGAAGCAATTAAAATACATATTGATCCCAATACGAATCTAACAAGAGTAGGAATGAAAATGATGGACATAATGAAAAGATTGAAGATATATAAAGGCAGGCCAGTGTTAGGAGAACAAGAATACAATTGGTGTATTGAAACAACATGCACCGGGCCAATATTTAATTCAAATGGTACAATATGCTGTAGAGAAGCTATAAATAATGATGAAAACAATGTCAAATTAAATAAATTTGAAAACTGCTGGGTGATTGGAGTTGGACCACCAGGACTAGTTGAGAAAACCAAAGTGTGGGCAAGAGATTGTGGGTTTCAATTCCATGAAGAATCATTTAGTGTTTAGTGTTCAGATGCTCAGATGCGTTGGTTATATTTAAATTTTTTATTTTATTTTATTTTATTTTGTTTATTTGTTTATTTGTTTATTTTGTTTTTTATTTGGATAATCTGGATAATTTTGGTTTGCTTTACTTTTTTTTATTGTGTTTATACTGGTTAGGAATATTTCAGTTTTTATTTGTTTATTTATTTATTTATTTATCGTTTTTGTTTTTATAATTATGGTTGTTTTTCATTCATGGACACATTAAGCATTTATTTTCATATTCAAGTTGACAAAATAATAAACCAATAAAATATAAAGTGAAAAAATAATAAAATAATAAGATAATAAAATAATAAAATGAAAAAGCGAAAAAGCAAAAAAGCTAAGCTAAGTTCGTGAAATAATTTGTAGGTAAATGATTATATAATAACATTCAAAGTCTTTTCACATTCAACCTGGAAATATCTAGCCACTTTTTCATCAACAGAGACTTGAATCGGTTTCAAACCGTCAGAATCTTGAATTGAGGGATCAGCACCTAATTTGACCAAGAAGACAGCTGAGTCACCATTGCCTTCAGCCAAAGCATGATGTAGAGGAGTGCAACCAAAGGAATCCTTCAAGTTGAGATTGCTTTTGCCCTTTTTTGCTAGCAACTCAATGAGGGTGTTTGAACCTATGGAGGCAGCTCTATGGAGAGGCAATTGGTTTTTCTTGTCTTTTATTCTAGCAGAGGCGTTGTTGGAGAGTAAGTATTCGACGATTGAGTAGTAGTTCTTGGAGGTGGCTAGATGGATGGGGGTTAGGCCACCATTAGTCTGTTGGTTCACATCAGGCTTGGGATTGTGGTTGACCAACAACTTGACGATGTCTAGGTTGCCCACAGAACAGGCAATGTGTAATGGAGTCCATTCAGAGTCGTCAATGAGCTCGTCGACATCTATTTCTATTTTCTTGTTTGCTGTTGGGCTCTGAAGCGAGGGATTGAGAAGCAACGAACATATCTCGATGTTGCCAGCGCTGGCAGCCCAGTGCAAGGCGGTTCTGCCGTCGAGGTCCTTCTGAAGAGCGAGCTTGGGCCTCTCCTTCAACAACCCTCGCACAATCAAGACCTTGTTTTCCCTGGCGGCATCGTGGAGAAGAAAGCTGTTGGTGTCCATGGTGCAATATCGCTGCTCAATTAGCTGATCAATACAGACAAATTGGCAGAAAGAACAGCCTGGGCTCCTCGCAAAAGTGCTCCACACAACAAGCGCAATGTCCGCCGGAGAAGCGAAATGGACTGCCCGAAGGAGCACGGCCGCAGGAGAACAGGCCCTACGCCACCGCGTGCTCCTCCGAACGGCCCTGTCCGCACAGCACAAACTGGCCTCTGCTTCTGGCAGCAGACTAACGCAAGCACGCAAGACGTATTTTTGCAGACCCAAGCCTTGCCTGGCCGAAAAGAGCTTAACCAACACTAGAACGCTCTCATCCAAGTTGAGAAGTTACAGAAGTTACATAACCAACATCTTCCACCTCTAGCTGTTGGCTCATCGTCATTAGTTGATCTAAACGAATCGGACTTATTCCTGCCTCAACCAAGTAGCAGATTTTGACTTTTTCTTTTCTTCTTTTCCTTCTATATATATTCTCGACTTACTCTCCCAGGCTCTTATTTCGCTCATCTCTTCCTATGTTCCTCTGCTTTTAATTTCCTTTTTTTCATGAGAATTGCATTCCTCGACCTCTCAATCCACCTCCGACAAAAGATAGACACTGTTTTCCACAAATATCGTATTTTCCTATAATATTACTGGACCTATTTGGCTTTATTTTCATTAATATTAATTAATTTTTGACTATATTCAACTATTCTTCACTATTCTCGACTTTTCCGCATTTTTTGCATTTTTTTCAAAAACTCGATCATTTTCATAGCCCTCAAACACAATGGCAGCAATGGATAAAGCTGACTCCAATGGCATTGAAAGTGGTGTTTTCAATACTGCTGATTTAGAAGAGGTTCCCCATGGGGTTCAAAGACAAGCTACTGTTTTAGAGGACTACCAATTTCCTACTCACAGACTCCAAGATAAAATGGTCGACGACTCTAAAGTCCCTCTTGTTATCGTTGCTTGCGGCTCTTTTTCTCCAATAACTTATCTCCATTTAAGAATGTTTGAAATGGCTCTTGACTCTATTAGAGAGGACACAAACTACGAAGTGATCGGTGGTTACTATTCTCCTGTCTCTGATTTCTACAAGAAAAAGGGTTTGGCCAATTCCATCCACAGAGTGAGAATGTGCGAATTGGCTTGTGAAAGAACTAGCGGTTGGCTAATGGTAGACAGCTGGGAGACTTTACAGCCAACATATACAAGAACCGCACTAGTTCTTGATCACTTTAACCAAGAATTAAACCAAAACAGAGGTGGAATATTCAATACAACCTCAAAATCAAAGAGGAAAATAGAAATCATGTTGCTAGCTGGTGGTGATTTAATAGAAAGTATGGGTGAACCTGATGTTTGGGCTGATGATGACTTGCACCATATCTTGGGCAAATACGGTTGTTTAATAGTGGAAAGAACTGGCAGTGATGTTAGAAGCTTTCTCTTATCCCACGATATAATGTATGAGCATCGAAGAAATATATTGGTTATAAAACAGTTGATTTATAACGATATCAGCTCTACAAAAGTCCGTTTGTTTCTAAGAAGGAATATGTCCGTTAGATATTTGCTACCGAATAGTGTCATCAGATATATCAAAGAAAATGATTTATATGTCCATGAAACTGAACCCGTTAAACAAGTCTTAGATAGAAAAGAGTATAGATAATTAATTGATTGATAAATTAATAAATTAAATAAACAAATAAACAAATAAACAATTAAACAATTAAACAATTAAACAATTAAACAATTAATTCAGATTATTAGAGAATATATTTAATAAAACTAGCAAAAACAAGAAAGTATTACCGAATTGAATATATAATTATATATAAGAATAACGACTAAAAAAAAAAAAATAAAACAAAAACGGAAAAACAAAACCCCATTGATCTCAAATCTTCATCATGTAATTTCACATAACCCGATCTTGCACTAATTAACTATTCTTTCTTGTTCTTGTTCTGGTTCTTGTCCTGTTTCTGGTTCTTAAACCCCATAATATACTAGCAATAACAACAATAGCACTTGCTTTAATTGACTGGCTTACCATCAACATCAATTGGCTTGACCCCAAATCCATTGATGTTTCTAAACATCTTAACACCATTATCACCATCAACAAATTGACAGCATCTGGCTGATTTCCATAAACTTACCCACATGTTCTCATCTGAGTGCTTATAGTGTTTTCCCATAACTTTCTTAATGGCTTCACTTGCTTCTCTGGCGTTGTAAAATGGAATTCTTGAACAATAATGATGCAAAACATGTGTTTCAATAATATCATGGAAAATATGTTGGCCAACAAATCCAAATTCTCTATCAATAGTGGCTGCTGCTCCTCTGGCAAAATTCCATTGATCAGCCTCGTAATGTGGCATAGTTGGGTCTGAATGTTGCAAAAATGTAATGAAAACTAACCAGTGGTTAACCCAAATGTATGGTAAAAACCAGTTAATAAAAACATTCCATCCTCCAAAATGTTGATACCAAACATATAATACACCAAATTGAATCAAAATACCAATATCAGATAATAAAACATACCAATAATCCTTTTTGTCGAAAATTGGTGCACTTGGATTAAAATGGTTAACCTTATATTGTGGAACATCGGGATATTCTTGTCCAGTTACATCTGTGAATAAATACATAATCCATCCACCTAACTGTTGGAGAAGAAGAGAATATAATGATACAATTGGTGCATCTTCTGATAATTCCTTCAAGCTAGAAACACCTCTTTTGGCAAGAAATTGTTCCTTAGTTCTTGGAACAAAAACCATATCTCTTGTTAAATGCCCAGTGGCTTTATGGTGTTTACCATGCGAAAATTTCCAACTAAAAAATGGAACTAATAAATAACTATGCAACACCCATCCGACAAATGAATCTAACCATTCATAATCAGAAAAGGCTCTGTGGCCACATTCGTGACTCAAAACCCATAACCCAGTTCCAAATAAACCTTGAACAGTAGCATAACCAAACCACAATAATCCTCTTAAAGCAGTATTTGGAACTAATGGAATATAAGTGTTTGCAACATATCCTATAGCTAACATACAAGCAATGTCTCTGAAAACGTAATATAAACCTTCATACCATCTTCTTTCATAACAGTGTTTTGGTATAGCACTTAAAATGTCTTTAATTGAATAGTCAGGAACGGTAAAGATGTTACCAAAGGTATCAATAGCAGTTAGAGGTTTTTGATCGTTACGTAATGTGGCAACATTACCAGATCTCTTTGTTTGTGAAGTAGTTGTCGAGTCTCTGCGAGTAGTAGAGGTGGTATCAGTAGAACCAGTAACAGTAACAGCAGACATTTTTTTTCTTTTTCTTTTTCTTTTTCTTTTTCTTTTTATGAGTTAATTTATTTTAATTTAATTCTTTATTATAATAGAAATCTAATTTTTTTTTTTCGACTTTTTTTCCAGTTATCTCTATAATCTAAGGAAATTAAAGGAATATTGGTATTCAAATAAAAAGTGACGAAAAATAAGATAATTAAATCCTTTTTCGATGTGAAAAAATAGTTAATGGGATAAAAACAATTATTAAATAAAACAATAAATTTTTTCTTTAGAAATTTTGTTTAATAAAAAGATTAGAACAAAAAAGTCAGGAATTCAAAAGGAATTTATAGCCCTCATGGTGTTGTCTTTAATGAAGATTTTAATTCGATAATTCAAAAATATTTTTTCGCAGATTTGAAGAAAAAATCAATTTGAAATCCTTTGTAAAAAAAAAATTTGGCGAAAAAGAAACCAAAACAGTAAAAAAAATCAAACACCGACGACTTCCGACCAAATCTGTATACAAAACAATCCAACATGATCATGTGCTCCCGCATTTTCACCTAACAGCAAACGCTGATTGGTCCGTTCAAACATGCAACCCTTTTTTGAAATCAGGATATTTTCAAACAGGATGTATCCACTTCGCTTTTTGACCTCAATTACGCTTTGTTATGGGGATGGCTTCTAAACACAACAAAGTGCTGAGAGTAACACCACTGTTTATTGCAAATTGATTGGGCATAGTTCGGGCAAATCCTATAAATAAGGCCACTGTTTAAAGGTGAGGTTCGGTTGGAAAGAGCTCTCAAAATTGTTGGGCCCTCATCCGCTCTTATCTCAAAATAACCTGTTTTTAGTAATTACTGTCAGATTTTCGGCGCGAAAAAACCTTTAGAAGTCTTGTCCCGGATTAGGCCCTGGGCTGTTTTTCGGGAGAAATAAAAAATTGTTGGTTTTTCAAAAGAGGGAATCTGACCACAATTGTGGTTAAGAAAGGTTTGTGGAAATCTGAGGTTTGCAAATGGGGTTTGCAACAAACTGGGGTTACAGCAAAAAGAGGTTTGTAACAGGGGTCTATGCGCAAATTGAGTTCAATGGCAAACTTCAAAACGACTTTATAAAAACACTCACAAAGAAAGTAAAAGGATTAGCATAAATCTTCTGTTAATATTTTTCAAGATGAACGACTTCAATGATATAGCTAGCAAATTCAAATATGCCATGCGTAATGCACAAAAGAAATCGCCAAAGAGTCCACTTGGTTTTTTTGCTGGTGCTGGTGGTTTAGTTCTTCTCGGTGGTTCAGTCTTGCTTTTAAATTCTTCTTTATTCAATGTCGATGGTGGTCACAGAGCTATTATTTATTCAAGAATCAATGGTGTTCAACCTGAGATCTATAATGAAGGAACTCATATTGCTATTCCATGGTTCCAAAACCCTATTATTTACAATGTTAGAGCCAAACCAAGACTTATTTCTTCATTAACTGGAACAAAAGATTTGCAAATGGTTAATATCACTTGCAGAGTTTTATCGAAGCCAAGTGTTTCAGCGTTACCAACTATTTACAGAACTTTGGGTACCGATTATGATGAAAGAGTCTTACCATCAATTATTAATGAGGTTCTTAAATCTGTTGTTGCTCAATTTAATGCTTCTCAATTAATTACTCAAAGAGAAAGAGTCTCGAAATTAGTTAGAGACAATTTAGTTAAAAGAGCTTCCAGATTCAATATATTATTAGATGATGTTTCATTAACCTCAATGACATTCTCACCTGAATTTACTAATGCTGTTGAAGCTAAGCAAATCGCTCAACAAGATGCTCAAAAGGCTGCATTTATTGTTGATAAAGCAAGACAGGAAAAACAAGGTATGGTTGTTAAAGCTCAGGGTGAAGCAAAATCTGCCGAGTTGATTGGTGAAGCCATTAAAAAATCAAAAGATTATGTTGAGTTAAAGAGATTGGATACCGCAAGAGAAATCGCTTCAATATTAGCTCATTCTCCAAACAAAATCATTTTAGATAATGAAGCTTTATTATTGAATACTGTTTCCGATTCAAGAATTGTTAAAAAATGATTGGTTGATTTGTTGATTGATTTATTTATTTGATTTATATTTATATTTATATTTATATTTATATTTATTTTTATAAGTTGAATTATAATCATAAAGATATTATGATTAAGATTATCTTTGTACATATTTTTATACTATTTTATGTTGAAATTATAAATAAATATTTCTTACTTCAAATTTGGTTTTTATCCCTTATTTTTTTTTTATTTTTCTTCTTTTTTTATTTAATTTGAAATCATTTAAATTGAAATGCAAAACAGTAGTAAATAAAAAGAAAAACAAGACAAAACAAAAAAAATGCAATTCAATAACCAATAACCAATGACCAATAACTAATAACTAATAACTAATAACTAATAAAACTACATAATTTTAAATGGCTTGTTTATCGTAAAATAAGGGTATATTTATTATATTTGTCAAATTTAATATAAGATCAGAATAATAAAAAACAAAAAACAAAAAACAAAAAAACACAGGGTATAAAAATATCAAATTTAATTTGAAAAAAACAAATTGTCAACAAATGGAATAGTTAAAATTGTAATGAAACTGTCAATTTCAAAAAAAAGAAAAAAAAGAGAACCTCTAAACACAAAACAAAACAATAAACCATAAAAGAATTGACAATTAAACAAATAAACCATTACAATTTTCAATCAGTCAAAATAAGAGTAATAAGAGTAATAAGAGTAATAAGAGTAATAAGAGTAATAAGAGTAATAAGAGTAATAATAAGAGTGATAGTAATAAAAATAATAGGATAAATTGTGAATAATTGAAAACTAGAACTAGTTTAAGCACGATCACCTCTTAATCTTCTTGCCAATTGGATATCTTTCTTTTGAATTGTAACTCTCTTAGCGTGAATAGCACATAAATTAGTGTCTTCAAACAAAGAAACCAAGTAGGCTTCAACAGCTTCTTGTAAAGCACCAATGGCAGAACTTTGGAATCTTAAATCGGTCTTGAAATCTTGGGCAATTTCTCTGACTAATCTTTGAAATGGTAATTTTCTGATTAATAGTTCGGTAGATTTTTGGAATCGTCTAATTTCTCTTAAAGCGACGGTACCTGGCTTATATCTGTGGGGTTTTTTGACACCACCAGTAGCTGGGGCAGATTTTCTTGCAGCCTTTGAGGCTAATTGTTTTCTTGGTGCTTTACCACCAGTGGACTTTCTTGCGGTTTGTTTTGTACGAGCCATTTGAAATAATTGAATAAAGTAAAATCAGATTGGGAGAAAGAACTGAGTTGTGTATAAATAAGAAGAAAAGAAAGAAGCTCGTTCTGTTTTTGATGCAGAAATGATCATTTCCAGAGGTCATGTGAAAGAATCGGTGTTTTGTTTGAGCCAGCGGAGTGGTTCTGATTAGTCATGGATTAGCCAGCGCTAGAAGTTTGCTTATTGGGAGCATAGATAAAAGTATATAGAAGTGAACGCTTAGAACCCTAGATATCCTCCATCAACAACAATAATTTCGCCAGAGACATAGTTACTTGCATCCGAGGACAAGAAAACGATGGGTCCCTTGAAGTCGTCAATTGGATCGCCCCATCTTCCAGCAGGAATCCTGTCTAATCTCTTCTTATTCTCGACAGAATTATTGTACAAGACATCAGTCATGTTGGTTTTGATCCATCCAGGAGCAATTCCATTAACATTGATACCTGAACTAGCCCATTCATTTGAAATAGACAGAATAAACCCCTTGAGCGCACTTTTGGTGGAACTATAGACACTGTTCTCGTAGCTTCCAAGATAAGTGGTCAATGAAGCAGTGAAGATGATCTTGCCCCTGACTTTGTTATCAATCATATGTTTGCCGACTAGTTGGGTCAACTTTGCTGGGACTCTGAAGTTGACAAAAAACACATTGTCAAACTTATGGTCAGGATAATCCAAAAACCCACTTCTGTGCGAGATACCAGCATTATTAATCAAGATGTCGATTTTGTTGCTTCTGGACAAGTTGATAGCTTTTTGGACGATTTTCTCCTCGATCTCCTCGATCTTTAAGGTGTCGATGGACAAGTCGCATTCGATTGTGGAAACAACAATGTCGTCAGGTCTGGGAGAGCTCTTTACAAGAAGCTCGACGGTTGCCTTTGGATCAGTTTTGGGCCTGTGGACGACGATGATCTGGTCGATGTTGGCCTCAGCCAAACCGATGGCCATGCCCTTACCGATGCCATTGGTAGCTCCTGTAATGAGGGCTATCTTCCCCTTCAACGAAAACAAATCTGCACTCATTTCCAGCTCTTTCTGCTCTTCTTGCCCCTGGAAACAGCCAACAGCAGCCTGCCCATTTTCTTCTCTGGCCAAACCACCTCTCTGCTCACCTCTTTGCTTGCCAACTGTGTTAAATCACGAAAAGTCACCTTCTCGGCCCCGGCCGTCGGCTGTCCGCGCCCAGATGCCGCCGCGCCCGCGCCCAGATGTGTGAGTTGTTAATATATCTCCATCTCCATCTCCATTTCCACCTATCTCTATCTATCTCTATCTCTGCTCTAATAATCAACACTGGTGTGGGGCTGTTGTTGGGCTGTTGGTGTTGTTGTTCAAAATGGGTTCCTTGAAGGTCTTTATCAAGAATGTCAGATATGCTAAGACAATTGCTGACGAACGAGCTACAATCAGAAAGGAGTCTGCTGCCATCAGAACCTCTTTTAAGAATGTCAATCTATCCAACAACAAAAGAAGAGAGAATATTGCAAAGCTATTGTATCTCTATATCCTTGGGGAAAAGACCCATTTTGGTCAGATAGAATGTATCAAATTACTAGCTTCTCCTAATTTTATTGATAAGAGATTGGGTTACCTAGCTACAATGTTATTACTAGATGAAAATCAAGAAATTTTAACTTTATTGACAAACTCACTCAATATGGATTTGCATCATCCAAACCAATTCATAGTATCTTTAGCCTTATCCACTGTTGGCAATATAGCCTCATACGATCTATCCAACGATATCTATCAAGACGTTTTAAATATCTTAAATATCAATAACTACTATTTGAAAAAAAAGGCCATCTTAGTTACTTCAAAATTAATTGAAAAGAATCCTGATCTAATTGAAATTTTTTATGAAAAATTACCCACAATAACTAACATTAATGAAAGAAACCATTCTATTTTATTAACCTCTTGCCAGTTAATTAAAACTTTTTACTTTTTCGGTGATAATGATATAAAACTAGATTTATATCAAAACTATTTACCAAAACTAATCGTTATTTTAAAAAACTTATCTTCGTTCGGTTATAACCCAGAATATGATGTTCTTGGTATATCGGATCCCTTTTTACAAGTGAGCTTATTAAAGACTATCACTCTATTAATCACAACTCCGACCTCCATTATATCTTTATTAAAGATACCTAATCCTGACGTTTTCACTACAAGAAATAACGACTCCTTTAATGACTTGTTAACTCAAATCGGTTCCAATATAGAATTTGGTAAAAATTCTGCAAATTTAATTCTATATGAAGTTGTTAAATGTATATTCAAATTAAATTCTTCCACCTCCACAAACTCATCACTTTCTCTGGAAAGTAACAATAACAAAAACAAAAACAATAAAAACAAAAATAAAAACACCAGAACAAGTAACTCTTTGAAAATCTTGGGCATTAATTTATTAGGTAAATTCTTAACCTTAAAGGATAACAACATCAAATATATCTCTTTAAATACTCTATTAACCGTTGTCAAATTAGAACCAAAAACTGTCCAAAGACATCAAGCCATTATCGTTAATTGTCTTATGGACAATGATATCTCAATCAAAAGAAGAGCCTTGGAATTGATCTTTGAAATCTTAAATGAAAATAACATTAGACTATTAATTAAAGAACTAATCAAATTTTTGGAATCCTTAATAATTGATGAAAACGGTAATAATACTTCCGTTTCTAAAAATATGAATGAATTTAATAGTTTCACCTATAATTTATCTTCAAATAACATAAACTCCTTTAATATAAATAACAGCTCCTTTTTAAATAGTTTGGATAGCAATAGCTCTAACGTTGCTTCTCCATCAAACCAAACTTCTACTTCTTCTTCTTTAAATAATTTAGATTTAAAATTCTTCATTACAAATAAACTAATGATAATTTTAAGAAATTATTCTCCAAATTTGAAATTCTTCTTTAAATATTTGATTATAATTCTCAATCTAAATGGTAACTATATAACAAATGACATTCTATCCTTTATCTTGAGTGTTATCTCAAATATTGCTAATAATAAATCAGTTAATATTGGAACCAGCAACTCAATCGATTTTGACTCAAGCTCTGAAAACAATCAATTACTAATTAAAGATGCTCTCAACCAAATTTTTAACTTGAGTTATGAAAATATTTATAATAATGGTTTAAACCTAATCAATATTTGGTGTCTTGGTGAGTTTTCTGAACTAATTCTCAACTCAAGTTTTACTGTGAAAAATAAATACTTGAGAAATAAAAACAGTTCTACTATAATAGATCAATCCGTTATTTTAGATTATCTTAATCGAATTATTTCCGATGTTGATAATTCTCTAATAAAATCTTACCTCCTTACATGTTTATTAAAATTATCTAAAACAATTGATGTCAGCTCATTGAATGAATTAACAGACTTATTTGATCATAACATTAATATAAATTTGCAAATAAAATCTATCGAATTTAAAGAACTTATCAATATTCAAGATTTGTCTATTAAAGATGGCATACTAGAAAGAATTCCTGCTCCCAATATAAATGACATTGGTCTGGTTTCATTGTCTAATACAAGCGATATTGATTTTTCAATTGGCAAAAATGGTCAAGGTAAAAATAAAAAAGACGCGTTATCTGCTGGTTCGGCTACAACAACTGATAATTTATTATTAGATTTGATGGATGATGGTACTACCACTGAAACACAAACTCAACCCATTGCTAGTAATGTTGATTTATTATCAGATATCTTCGGTTCTACTCCAGTTAGTGACACACAGGAAAAAGTTCCATCATCAAATAACAACATTTTAGATTTATTTGGAAATTCATCACCGATATCTAAACCGAATAATTTAAATGCTTTTAATCTAAACTCACTGGATATTAAAACTCAATCGTTTGGTATTGACCCACAAACGCCCGCCAACACAAAAACTGGCACTAATTCAGCACTAGCAATTTTGTCCAATAAATCAATTAAGGAGATTTACTCTAATGATGATATTATAATGAAATTGCTTTCCAAAAATATTGGTGGTGGACAAGCGAATTTAGAAGTCTACTTTATTAATAAACCGTCCAGTTCTAGTGAAATAAGTAATATCAATTTATTGTTTGCAGTTGCAAAATCTCAGAAATTGGTAATGGGCCAAATCAACACGTTGACGATTGATGTTAATGAATTCTTAAAACAAGATTTAAAAGTGAATGGTAAAGTTGGATCAAAATTGAAGTTGAGAATCAAGTTTTCGTATCAAATTGGTGGAAGAACTGTTAATGGAATGTTTGATTACAATAAAGGCGAAACTTTATAATCTGTTAGATATCTTATTGTTAGTTAATTAGTTTATTTTCGTTTTTTTTTTATTTTCCTCTGTTACACTGAATTATTTTAATTATTTTTAATTATCTTACTTTGGGTTCTTTAATCTAAACTAAAGTTTTTCTTTTCTCAGGACATCCCACCTGTAGATGTTCAGATAACATATTTAAAAGCAAAGTAAAATTAAACTTTACTAGTGTGAACAATTAATGGCAATCATAAAAAAGAAGAATTGTCATAATCTGTTTTCAAATAGCAACTCACATTTATGCTGGCAATGACTTTATTAAACACAGTAGCAATGTCCGTTTGTTGAAATTCTATGGCTGATATCACAACTAGGAGAGCTTGAGATGATTTAAATAGCCCATTGAATCTCTAAAATGATAAAACTTGTTTTGAAACTATAGAATAATTCATCAAATTAATATTGTCTGAAAGTATATACATAAAAAATGGACGTGGTTAAGGAACAACTTCAAACTCAATTGTCGGGAATTGATAAGGTGTGTGAGAAATAATGAAAAACCGAATTTTTTGGAGGAATTTTATAAAGTGATTTTTTGTTACTAACATTTTTTATTTTTTTTTTTGTTAGCAATTTTCATCAAACAAACAACTTGATTTTGTTGAGAAGAAAACCAAGGTACCTCGATCATATGCTGTACTTGGTGTTGGAGCACTCTATGTGGTAAATGTTTTATTCAATACATTTGGAATTGGAGAATTATTGTCGAATCTTGCAGGATTTGGATATCCAGCATACTTATCAATGAAGGCATTAAGAACAACAGAAAAACACGATGATTCTGATTTATTGGTTTATTGGGTTGTATTTGGAGCATTGAGTGTTGCTGAATATTTTTCGAGAACAATTTTATATTTGGTTCCATTTTATTATTTTTTCAAGACGATTTTTTTGCTATACTTAAGTTCTACCACATACAGAGGAGCAAATTTTATTTACACTCAATTCTTGGGGCCAATGAGTGAGAAGTTTATTTTCAGAAGAGGAGCAGGTCAAAGAAGTTTTGCACCACCTCCCCCAAATCGCAAACACAGTGATTACGACACCAGTCGACTCCAAGTTGAAGCAAAAGAACAAGCCAGAAAGCAAGCTAAGATCCAAAATGAAATCGCAGAGAGAGCCAAGGCTCAAACAGCTAGAGACCAAGCTGCTCAGTATGCTAAGATCCAATCTACACCAAAAAGAAACAGTGCAAGTGCTCCATATACTGGAAATGTTTTGTCTAGTGGAACTGTCCCATCTAGTGAAACTGCCTCATCTAGTGGAAAATTTCCACCTAGTGGAAGTGTTGGATTTAATAGAACTGCTCAAATCAGTGGAAATGGACCACTTAGTGGAAATGTTCCATATAGTGGAAACACTCCAATTAATAGCAATATTCCAACAAGTGGAAATATTCCAACAAGTGGAATTAGTGGATATCAAAACCCATTTGTCGATGGAAGTAAGCTTAAAGAAGTTCAAACCCACTCAACTGGATACGACAGATTTTAATTGTATATTAGGATATTTAATTAAATTAATAATATTTTGAATTTTACGTTTACGTTTTTTTTTGTTTTTTTTTATAACTACTTCGAAATTTTAATTGTTCAATTGGGTGCAAGCAAGCATTTTTATGGTTCGAGATCTAGTATTTATTTTATAATTGAGGATAATTAATATATATGATTCAATTGAGGATTGAAAATAAGCGGGAGAAAAGAATGGATGTATAAGTCATGACTGTAGAAAATTTGAATATACATCTATTCGAAAGCAATACATTCAATTTCAATATCGACACCTAAGGGCAATTCCTTGACAGCAACACAGGATCTTGCTGGCTTGAAATCAGTGAAATAAGTTACGTAGACTTTATTAATCTCACTGAAAAAGGCCATATCAGTCAAGAAGATGTTGACTTTGGCAATTTTGGTCAAGTCTGAATTTGCACCTTTTAAGATCAATTGAATATTGTCCAAGATCAATTCTGTCTTTTCACCAATTGTTCCCTCAAGAATCTCACCCTTTGAGTTGATTGGAATCTGTCCAGAGACGAAAATCATGTTTCCGGCTTTGACAGCTGGGGAATATGGGGCAGCTGGAGGAGGAGCGCCAGGTGGGTAGATTGAGGTTAGGGTGGTCATTCTATTGACAAACTGGAGAGAAGATCTGTGAGAAGCTGGCGATCTGACAGTGTTTTTGAGGAGCACTTTTGCTGAATTGAAGGCGAGCTGTCTGAACATTGTGAGCTTCTTGTGGCAGATGGCAGAGGTCGAGAGGAAAGCAGCTGAAAGTGCTGCAGATGATTTGTTGATGGGGTCGAAAAGAGCGCACGTGTGCGGAAGTTAAAACTATTTACGGAACTACGCAGTGCTATACAAAGCAGCGTAGTCGTCGACGTCCATTTCGTCGAAGTTGGGGTCGTAACTGGCGCTGATGATCTTCTGGGCCCTTGCCTCGTCGTCCTTGAAATGCTCTTTGACGTGGCGCTCGAACTTTGCTAGGAGAACTGGTTTTCCTTCCTCGCGACGTTTTCTGTGGCCGATGGGATAGTGGATTTCGACCTCGTCCAAGACAGTGTTGTCGTTGAGGGTTATTTGGATGGCGTTTCCAATGTATCTCTTGGTTGGTTCATGGTATTCGACGGTGTACTGTTTGTTTTCAACACACACCATCTTTGCACGAAGCTCGTCGATCTCTGGATTGGCTGCGATTTCATCGGTATAGTCATCGGCAGTTAATCTGCCGTAAATCAAGGGAATTGCGACCATGTATTGGATACAATGATCTCTGTCGGCATAGTTGTACAAGGGGCCCTTTTTGTCGATGATTCTCATGCCAGCGTCTTGAGTCTTGATGGTGATTGATTTGATGTCAGATGGAGATTTGTTTAGATGGTTTAGTTTTTGGTGTAGGATCAATGCGGCTTCAACAGCGGTTTGAGCATGAAATTCAGCTGGAAATGAGATTTTGAATAGGACGTTTTCCATGACATAGGAGCCATAAGGTCTTTGGAATTTGAATGGGTGTCCGTTGAATAAGACATCGAAAAAACCCCAGGTTTTGGCAGTTAGAGCAGATGGCATACCGGATTCACCATTTTTAACGTGATAAGCCAAGTTGACAGCTCTATAGCAGGCGTCCCCAGCGGCCCAAGATTTTCTGGACATTGTGTTTGGAGCATGTCTGTAGGTTCTTAAGCTCTGGCCATCTATAAAGGCGTGGGAAACAGCATCAATTGTCTGGTGGTAGGATAAGCCGAGCATTTGAGATACAACAGCGGTTGTGGCAACTTTGACGAGCAAGACATGGTCTAAACCAACAGCGTTGAAGGAGTTTTCCAAAGCTAAACAACCTTGGATTTCATGGGCTTTTATCATACCATTTAGTAAATCCTTGACTTTAAAGATTTTTCCTTCTTTTCCATCAGTGGATTTATAAAGTCTGGTCAAGTAATCGGCTACAGCTAGGATACCACCCAAGTTGTCAGAAGGATGGCCCCATTCAGCAGCTAGCCAACAATCATTGAAATCCAACCAACGAATAATGGCGCCAATTGAAAAAGCAGCTCTAATCGGGTCCAAGACGTAAGGAGTACCGGGGATTCTGGAACCATTGGGAACAATGGTGCCAGGAACAGTTGGACCAATTAGTTTTGAACAGGCAGGATATTTTAAAGCAGCTAGACCACAGCCCAAAGTATCGAGAAGGCAAAGTCTTGCAGTATCAATGGCTACTTTCGAGTCAATTTGGTAATCATGGATATAAGTTGCAATGTCTGTTAAAACAGTGTCAGGCTCAGGACGAGCGTTATCATTCATAATTGGAGACATTTCTGATAAAGGGTATTTTCAGTGAAATAGTAATAATAACAAACACAATAAATAAGTAAATAAATAAGTAAATAAATAAGTAAATAAATAAGTAAATAAATAAATAAATAAATAAATAAATAAATAAATAAATAAACAAAATAATTGGAATCAATTCAACCAGGCGTAATGGAATAATGAATAATCGCGATAATAAAAGGAAAACAGTAAAAGGAAAAGAAAAGAAAAAAAAAAAAAACTTGGAAAAAACTTGAGAATCTTCAGATGTGGATTATATTTATAACGACAGCTTGGTTGAAAAATTGTAGAATTAAATAATAATCAATATCAATAAACGATAATTGTTTAACATATCATAAATCATTTGAGATTTGATCTGTATCGTAAATTGAAATAACAGTTAAATGTTCAAAACCGCATTTTGTAATCGGGATTTTTCAAAAAATTTCAAAAATTTTGCAAAAAGAAACAAAAAATCGAATCGCCAACAAGTAGAGAAAATAATCAGGATATTCTGGATATTCCGTTTATTCAAACCAAATGACGAAGTTTCTCCACTATCAGACATACACACCCATAGCAAACCCAGAGAATAATTCCATTCTGAAAAGGGAAAGTTGTTTTTATTTTTCCAGACAGAATGGTTGGAACAATCAAACAGTCAAAAAGAAAGTGTTTTTTTTGTTCAACTAAAGCAACAGACAAAAGGGGCCAGAGAAACCAAATGAATGCGTTTTCCCTGCTACAAATCCAGCAGTGGCAGCAGAAAAACAATCGAAAATGGAGACAGTCAGTAAGAGAATATTCGTAGATGGGGATAACTCTGAATGTATATCCGCACCGACGGGTTGGCCGTTGGGAGCTGACTCCTCGCTGTAGGAAAGGTCTACGCGCGAAAACGCAGGTGGAACTCCAAATAAGGCTGGCCCTGTTTTCCGATCTTCGGGGCGTGAGGATAGCAGAGGTGTCCTGCAACTCAGTCAAGCCTGAGCCGCTGTACCTGCACTACAAGGATATCTTATCTGCCTTCACAAAGCATCCGCGTGACCGGACTAGCGCCAGCAGTGTGGGTTTCCGGCAGACCAAAGCGGCTTATCTCCAGCAACAGCGTGACACGTGATCGGTTTGAGAGTGAATTGGTTCTGGAGCAAAAAATGCCAGCGCGCTTCATCTGATGATGATAATTCTCTTTCGATTCGGCTTCCCACCAAACAAGAGCGTTTCAGCCTTTCAAACCCTCCAGCACTGGAAGTGCGGGCAGTTGACCCTCCATGAAGAGAAGCCATTTTATTGTTTATTTCACGTGTCTGTGTTTGGAAATGGAACTGCGTAGGAGGAAACTCAGTTTGGCCCTCGCTGCGCTTGTGAGAGAGGGAGCGGCCGTTTTAGAGGGTACCGCACTTTTCACAGCTCTTCAATCAGCTATCAATCGGTTAGGGAGCAGTATAACCACTCAACTGTAGCATAGACTGTAGCAGCCAGAGCACTGCAATCACTTAAGTTATTGTTTTCTGCTGTTCTATAGAATGCTGTTTGGCAGTCTTCTATTCTTTTTCCATCCAGCTCTCTGCGTATTACTTTTCATCAATCAACCACTGCGTCGCTCACAGATTGCCTAATTTAATCTTTGTTCAATAAACCACTAATTTCTGTGTTTTCTCACTTTTATATAATACTGCTCTTGATCTGCTTTCTTTTTTTTACTACATTTTTATTGGTAATACACTCAACACAGCATCCATCCACCTTTGCTCTGAAATGTCTTTTCATTTTATTTCGTCCTTTTTATCAGGCAGTCAAAATAAATCTTTGCCAAATAACAATAAAAACAACTCCAATAATGGCACTAATCCTAATAGTAATAACAACTTTAAAAGAAAAACTAAAAAACCATTTCCCCAATCAAATCTAAACTTCTCGCTAGATTCTACTGACTTGAACAATTCCAATTTTTTCAATATTTCAAATGTCTCAAATACTGATTTAAATTCTCCCTCAAATTCATTGAACCGGAAATTTTTCAAAACTCGTTCTCAATCTCACTCTTCTCAGCTGAAACCTCATCTCCATGATTCCTCTCTAAGAAGAGTATCAACCATATCCGCCACTACTTCAAATCCTCACCATCTCCATTCTTCATCAAAACACCATCCCAACAAAGATAAATCAAAATCATACTATTCAAATAATGCCCTAAATAATGACCAACTAAACACCTATAATTCTACAAAAGTCTCCTTTCAAGAAGATTTGCCTCTTCCTAAAAATTTAAATTTAAATTTAAATTACACCACTGGCAATAATAAAAATAACAACAACACCATCACCATTGATGAAAACAACAATAATAACTATACTCGCAAAAAGAAAAATTTAAATCGAAACCTCTACAAAAGTTTCAAAGATAACGAATTAACCAATTTGGAAAAACTAACTAGCAATCTAAATTCAATCGATTCCCTAAAAAAAATTCTTAAATCAAAATTCGGTTTCAATCTATCTAATAAAAATGCAATACATAACCTTTACGACATCTCTATAAACGATAATATTACATCAAATAACAAATCCATAAGAAAACAAAGAAGACATTCATCTGTCCTCTTTAACTTATCAAACTCAAATAAAGCCATCGAATATACTGATTCGGACTCAAATTCTTTAAAAAGAACCCTCAGCAATACCTCTCAAAAATCTTTCAAAGAAAATTTGAAAAATTCTTTAAAACTACTATCCCCAACCACTTCTCATTCTGATCAAATCTCAATCTCTTCTCCAATCTCAAATCTAGACTACAATAACTTGGTAACAACAATCAGCGTTCCAATGGCTTCAAACATCACCGTAACCTCAAATTCAAACAACAATAAAGTTTATGAGAAAAATCACGAATACTTAGCTAAAAAATTAATCTTAAATAACCAAAATAACCAAAATAGCCAAAATAGCCAAAATATCGCTTTCGACACATACGGAAACCTACTAGATAACTCGAATTTAAAGATATCTGTACTCAACTCTAATGACAAAGTCTACATTAGTTCAAATGCTGGTTTAATAAATCTTTCCTCTGTAGCAAATAATCTTCACAACTTTTTAAATGATGACGATGACGAAAATGCCTATGAAAATAGAAGCAGAAATAACAATAACAATGACAATGACAATAACAATGACAATGACAATAACAATGACAATAACAATAACAATAACAGTCTATCAAATGCAACAACAAATTTAACCTCAAATCAAAACTCAAATTCAACCGCTACTATGACCACAGATACGTCAAACCATGCTTTACATACCTTTGCTGTTGTAGTCTCAATTCCAAAAATTCCCCGAAACGATTATTCAGACGATAACGATAACTATGATGACTCAAATTTAGATTCCGATACTGACACTGATATACTAAGTGAAGCTATGGACTCAGATTCCACAAGAAATGATATCCAAAATAATAAAAATAAAACTACAAAATCTTACCAAAACCGAAACAACTTATCTCCCCTTTTACAACCTTCCAATGCTTCTGACACATCAAAACTAAAAAAAATGCCCACTTTAGACTCAGTTCTGGCTCCAAGATCTTCTCGTTCCTCATACAAAACTAATAATTCATACCAAGAATACTTGACCAAGACAAATATTAATCTAGAAAACTTCAACTTTTCTTTAAACCTGATATGTGACATTAAATGGCATAAAGGTTCTCCTGTTGAATTTACAAATAGTATAAATCACAATTACTATAAAGAACTTTACGACTCTTCTTTAAATTTTAATGAAAAATTTCTAATTGGTTCTGAATCATGGAATATAAATCTCTTGAAGGATTTTAACTACTTTATTCCTGCAGATTCTCTGTCTTTTTTGGCATTTACATCCGATAGCAATTCGGGCTCTTTTGATATTCTTAGTGATGCAGACGATTATGATAACGATCAATTATTAACAAACTCAACTACGCCGCTTAATTCAAACAAATTTAGAAAAATAGTTTGTGGAAAAAATAAAGAATTCGACTTGAAAAAATTTTCTTTATTTACAATGGATGAAATTAATAAAAATGACTATTACTTGAAAAAAAGAATGACAGAAAAACTTAAACTCAATCAAAAAGATTTTCCAGAATTTAAAAAAAATACTTTAAATAAGGAGTTTTCAAACGATTCTTCAAATAACAATTCAGATAGCGAACCATTGGATTGTTCTTCTCCAAATACCCCAAATCAAGCTTTGAAAAGAGAATTCACCTATCCTCCAGGAGATTATGTGTTTATTTTTCCTGTCATCTTTCAATCATTTTTACCAGAATCAGTTGTATCGCCAAGAGGAACTTTAACTTATCAATTTGATTTGAATTTAAAAAAGTATTCATTAGAAAAAGTTAATCCTTTATTTAATAAATTTTCTTTCATAAAAAATATTACAAATAAGTTGGGAAATAATGATAATAATGAGAATTCAAAGCAAAATCCAAATAGTTTGAATGATTCTAATCTTGAAAATTACAAAAATATTCAAATTTTCGAAGAAAATATGAATAAGTGCTTTAATTTGCCCTTGATTAGACTACCACCCAAAACATCTATCTCCACTATAAACAAGCCTATATATGTTAATAGAGTGTGGAACAATTCATTATCCTATGAAATTTCATTTCCTCAAAAATATGTTCCTTTGAATTCAGAGATTCCAATTCGAATTAAATTGATACCATTGATAAAGCATATCACTGTCAAAAGAATAAAAATTAACATAATAGAAAAAATAACATATACCTCTAAAGATCTAAAATACGAATATGATGAAGGTGTTGCTAACGTTCAAGACAATAATATTAAAGAAAAAATTGTTGCGTTGACTGAAATTAGAACGAGAACAAAAGGAAGCAAAGCAATACGAGAAGAAATTGTCAAGTCAACATGCAATGAAAATCTTTTGACATATTGTTTTGACAAAAATCAAAAGCAAGGTTGCGACATAAACAGCAAGGATGGCGATGTTTTAATCAGCTCTCCAATTATTCTTGAAACGCCGTTACTTTTCAAAAGTGCAGAGCACAAGCCTAATGTCTCAAAATCAATTGATTCAAATGGTAAATACTATAAAACAAGGATTAAAAGTGGTGGTCATGAATTCAAAATCTCAACTTTAACTGATGGGAAGGACGCAAAATCTTCAAATGATTTTCTAGCTGAACAAACAAGATTATATCCTGATAGCTCAAATTTGAGTTTTATAAACACTAGTCACAGAATTCAAATTTCTTTTAGAATTTCAAAGAAAAATAATCCACTAGAAGAGAAATATCATCATTTTGAAGTTATGATCGACACTCCTATAATTTTGCTTTCAAGTTTGTGTAAGCCAGAGAATACTACATTACCTCCTTATATTGAAAATCCTGAAGATGAAAATATGACTTTAACTAACAGCAACACTTATAATGATGTTGATTCGATTTTTGATGATGACCAATTACCAACTTTTGAAGAGGCTCTTCAACAACCGGAGTACACACTTGAAAGAATGGAGACAAATTATGGGAGTCCAACTTTTTCTCCTTCTTTCTCTTCAAACTTGGCATCGCCTATTAGAGGTGGTAATTTGCCTCAGTTTTCTTCATTGAGTTCTTCTCAGGTAATTGGCAACATCGATGAAAATGGAAATACAAACTCTCTTGTTTTGAATTCATTTATTGGTGAAGATCAGCTTAGTATACCCAGAATTGGTCCACTAAGTATTAGCAATGCCCTTTCTCCAATTATATCAAAACTGGAAATTTCCTCCCCAGTTTCCGATTTACTTGAAACAAATTTTGTTTCTTCAAGCAGTAATGGTATTTACAACAATTTTATTGATTTTCGAAATATGCCCTTGCACCCACCACGATATAGTGATATTGACAAGTCAATTGGAAGAGTATTGAGCATTCAAGATAAAGCAGATTTTTCTTTATTAGAAGACGATGAAGAAGAAAAAAAAAAAATGGAATTAGATTTAATTAACCAGTTTCGATACCCTCACACTAAATTTTCAAATCAAATAAATTCCAAAAACAACTGAAAGGACCTACTCTTAGAGATATTTTTTTTATTTTTTATTTATTTTAATTTTCTTAATGCAAATATATTGCTAGTTTTAATGTAATTTTGAGTTTTTAATGTAATTTTGTTTCTTTCCTGATGAATTAATGACATAAATTTTTTTGTTTTTTACTTATAGTGATTATTTACTTGTAGGCTTGAGTAGAGCATGAAATTTCATATGTTTGATAACTCAATATTTTCAAGGTACATAATTACAAGGTTAGTCCAAATAACAATTCCAGTGCATTTATTAACTCAAAGACAGTAATTAAATAAAATTATTACTCACAGAGCGGTTTATTGAAGAAAGAAAAAAAATATACAGAACAAAAAAAGTATAAATATATAAAAGCAGCAATATGCATATTTATGTTTGCATGTACTGTGTTACACATATATATGCTTATAGATGCTTACTATATAATGTTGCTGGTGGATCACTAGTAGTAAATTTTCATGTATTTAAAACACAAAAAGATAGAACAGTTCTTCCTTTTTGAATCCAGCTTCAAGGTCTAAACAAATTGGTATTACTATTAGCAGCTATTAAATACATCATCATAATGTATTTTCATCAAAATAAGAGCAACTAATTAAAAGTTGCTTTGAGCGAGATTCGAGCTAGCTTTTTACTCACGTGCATATCCTTTAAAAATTACAAAAAACCACTGTCTATTGTAAATGTTGTTGATAAGAAATTGATCAAATCGCCAATTTAAAATGACATTGAGCACCAGTAATATACAAGTTCCTGATTCTCACACTTTATGGTCGCCTAGTGATACTATTAAAGATGCCTCTGAATCGCTTGGGATCCAGAATTTGCCTGATGATGTTGCCAAAGCTCTTGCGATGGATGTTGAGTATCGAATCCATGAAATAATCGAGCAGGCTTTGAAGTTCATGAAGCATTCAAAGAGAAGGACTCTTAAGACAATCGACATAGAAAAGTCATTGAATGTCTTGAATATTGAACCTTTATATGGCTATAATACCAACAAGTCTTTGAATTTCAAAGAAGCTCTAGTTGGTCCAGGGCATGCTTTATACTATATTGATAATAACGAGATTGATTTTGAAAAACTAATTAACAAGCCTTTACCTAATGTACCTAGAATAACAACTTTTACAGCTCATTGGCTTGCAATTGAAGGTGTTCAACCTTTAATTCCACAAAACCCATTACTATCAGAAATTAAAAACCTTCCTCCAACTCAAAGAGGCTCTTTGGTTAATAATATTTTAACCTCTTCTTCCATCGGAATATCAACAATTTCTAATGATTCTGGAGTAACTAATCCCGACAGCTCATCAAACACCTTTACTTCTGCTATTAATAACAAACCTAACAATAACAATAATATTTCGAGTAATATAAACAACACCAACACCGGCAGGATAAATAATCTATCAAATGGTGAATCTAATAAAACAAATGGTTATGAGATAAGACCTTTAGTCAAGCATGTTTTATCTAAGGAATTACAAGTCTATTTCAATAAGGTTATTGAAATTCTACTACTAAATACGGGCTCTAATGATGAAAATGAGAAAAAAGGAGATAAGGATAAGGTCAACGAAAATACCGAAGATAATGAGAATTTGAAACAAGCTGCTTTACAATCTCTTAGATCAGAGCCTGGTTTGCATCAGCTAGTTCCTTACTTTATTGAATTTATCAAAGAACAAGTCACTTATAACTTAAAAAATATCCAACTTTTAACAACAATGCTAGAAGTTATATATTCACTCTTATCCAACGAAACTATTTTTTTGCATCCTTATATACATGGTTTAATGCCTTCAATTTTAACTTTATTATTGGCCAAAAAAATAGGTCCCTCATTAAAGGATTTATTAGAACTCAAGAAAGGTGAGGAGAATGCTCGAATTGAGGACAATTCTGCTAATGGTGGGATTGCAAACATTGATTTAGACTCTTTATATCATCATATAAGTATTAGAGATTTTGCTGCAAGTCTATTGGATCATGTTATTAAAAATTATGGGAAATCATATAGCTATTTAAAACCCAAGGTTGCTAGAACTTTATTGAAAGCGTTTTTGGCTACAAACATTAAAAACTCTACTCAATCAATTTATGATGATAAAGAAAATGATATTTTACTGGAAAAGGATGATACTGTTTCAAATTCAGCGTATGATGGTAATATAGAGTCAATTGAAAAAAATTTTAGAAAGAACTTTGGGACTTATTATGGTTCAATTATTGGTATAACGAAATTAGGCCCAGATTCTGTAAGAATGCTAATTTTGGGAAATCTTAAAAATTGGAGCGAATTAATATTTATTGATCCTCCTAATATTGCAGATGAAAAAAATAATGTAAAATTATTAGAACGAAAAAAATTCATAAAGGAAAGACAATTTTTGATTTTTGCTATTATGCTAGCTTTAAGATCTTTAAAAGTTTCTGATACAATATTGAATTTAAATAATACTGAAAAACACACAGCTGGTGATCATGAAAAGGACAAAGATGGTGACCAAGAAATGAATGATGTCTCAGATGTAAAAATTGAATCAAATGAAACTGAAGTATCTGGTACTTTGATCCAAAAATTAAAGGACAGAGTTGGGGATGTTATTGCAAATGCCATTTTGCAGCAAAAAGATAGAAAGAGTATAATAGATGGGATTTTTTTTGCTGAAATTTAGTTCATTTTATATTGAGTAGGTTTTGTTTTATATTTTTTTTTAAGAATTGTGCCAGTTAATGAACTATTTTTCATAAAAAAAACAACTAATATATTATTTCTTTTTTCACTATAGGGGTGCTTTATTGCAATTTTTATAAAATTAAATTATAAAATGATTCAACACAATTTCAAATTTTTATATAGTAACTTCAGACCTTACAGGCTTACAGAATCAGATTTTTAGTTTATTAATTAAAATCTTTTTAATTTTTCTCAATTTAGCTTATCAATTTCCTAAATTATAAATGAATTGATATAACCAAAGATCAGGATCAAACAGGTCAAATTTCAGTAAAACTTTATGTTCAAATATACTACAGTATTAACATAATTGTTTTGTTAAAATCACAAAAAAAAATAGTCAATACGGGTCATAGTGATATAATTAGCTGATATTGTTTCTACAAAGAAAATTGATATCTCGTGATAAATATTGAAAATGTGTTTTATCTAATGGGAGTAATCTGAAATAAGAAACAAACTAAAAAAAATATCAAAAAAACAGATAGAAACAAAAAGAGCAGATAAAGTAAAATGAGGAAAAACCATAAAAAAATTATAAAAAAATTATAAAAAAATTATAAAGAAATTATAAAAAATTCCTAGCTTTGGCTTTTTCAACAACAGTTTTGCTTAAGTATTTGTAAAAACTGTCAAAGCTAACATCTTCAGTTAACAATAAAACTGGAGTTTCAGTGTTGTTACCAAAACCATAACCATAACCAAATTTAAAAAAATTAGCTATAGTACTTTCCTCATTTTGTTTGAAAAAATCATCAGGATCTAATTTGGACATGACAAATCTTGCCTGTGACTTGCCTTCATCTGTCTCTATATATCTTGGTAAAGGAAATCTATCTTTAATTATTTCAATGGCTTCATTTCTAGAATTTTCAAGAATTGTATAAAAATTGACATATTCTGTTTTATCCAAATCTGAATCTCTCCAACTTGCAGCATATTCGCCATAATAAACAACCACGTAGAAAAAGGCATCCATAACAAAGATATTTTCTTTTAATAAAGAGGCAGCTTTCAAGTGAACAGGGACAATTTCATCAGGTTGTTGAATTGAAAATGATAATAGAGTTGGTTGAATCATCAATAAACAGTCCGAAACATTTGATTTTAGAAAAGTATGATGATAAAAAGCAGTTTCGTCTGGGGATGAACCAAAAATTCTAAAAATGTTGCTTCTTCTTAAATGATAAACGAATTCAGTAAAGCTATAAAAATTGATGTTATCAAAGCTGAAAGAATTCAAGTCATTTTTATCATAGTTGCCGAAATTCAAGCCTAATTTAATCAAGTTTTTATCGGTTTCTTGAATGATATCATTATATTTGATATAAGGGTCACTAAGAATTTTATTGATACCACACTTGGCCAATAAAACTATTGCACATTCGAAATCAAAGGATTGCTTTAAAGGAATGACATTTGTTGTGAATTTTTTGACAGTTGTCACTCTTAGTCTATAGTGAGTATTTGAGGAATGTTTATAAATAGTTTGGAACTGAATTAATGCATCATTACCCATTTTATTTTTTGATTGAATTGAATTACTAAGAGTGTCAGCTTTAAAAAAAATGGAGTAGTTATTTCTTGGAGATAAAGAGAGAATTTTCCATTCATTTGTTAGGCCATTTTTGAAGAATTCATCATCCGAGGACATTATTGAATGGTTTTTCAAAGAGGTTGCATTTCCTATTAGACCTCTAATTTTTAGATTATTTGAAACAGATATTTTTAGGAGTGAATCTTGATGAGATGATAAATTTTGAGACTGAAATTGAGAGGTGTCTTTATTTATATGAGTTGAGAATTCGGATTGAAATAATTTTAGAAAGGATTGTTTAAATAGATTTGTTTTAAAAGAATCAGTTACAATGATTGAGCCACCGGATAAGTTTGTTAGAGGTTGCATTTCATAGATACCCGATTGATCGTAACAACCGACTAAGATATTAATTTCGATAATTGAGTTATTATTGTAAACTAGGGGGTTTTTATCATTGTTTAAGAGGGACAAAGCCAATTTTTTATAGAACAGAGAAGAATTTTGGAAATATTTAGTGTTATTTTTTTGAATATCGTTATGAGTTCTGATGTTTTCTTTTAAATCATTCGAAACGATCAAACCTGGGCCTTGAGTGCAAGGGCCAGCAGAGAGCAATATTATTTTAGCATTAGAATCAGAAAAGATTGATTTCATTAAATTGATAGAGATGGCGAGAGCTGAGCCTGTTGATCTTAAGAATCTCTTTGAGGAGAGATTTGAGTTGTTCAAGTCGTGTAGGTTAATTGATTTGTTGACTGGGTTAAGGCCGTTGATTAATTTAATGAAATAAAACTTGTCAAATTGGTTGTCAAGATTTAGGAAAAATCTTTGGTACGGGAAATTTTTGTTGTAGGGATTGAAATTTGATTTTGATTGATAGTCATAATTAGATAAACCAGATTCATTGATTGCAAGAATTTTTTGGAATTTTTTTAAGTTTAGTTGGTTTTCATTTTTAATATTAAAAATGTGAATTTTTTTAAAAAAGGATTTTTTTTCAGTTATATTTTGGTTTTTATTTTTATTTTTATTTTTGTTTTTGTTATCAAGAGAGAATCCTAGTTCATATAAATGAATAATGGAGTCAAAAGTTATTAGGCCAACCAAGGTATTTTGGGGCAAAGAATTTATTGAAGTGATAATTGATTTTTTCAAGGAGGATAGTTCGTCTTGTTCCAAGCACAAGTCGACTAAGAAAAGAATGATATTGGGAGAAAATAGAGAAGATTTTTTGTAGTCGTGTAGGATGTATTCACAGGTTGTTGAATTGAGAGAAATTTGAGGCAGTTGAATTGAATCGGGATTGAAATTTAAAAGAGTGTTTCTTTGATTGCAAATTGGACAGACCCAGTACCTGCTGGTGTTGATGTTGTTTGTGGGATAAAGACTTATTTCTTTGACAAAGGGATTCAAGACTGAGGAGCACAGTTTGTTTGAACAGGTTACTGGAGAGGAATCAAGCAAGGGAATAGGATAGTCTTCAGTGTTGTTCAATGGGGTATAAACACAGCCCAACAAATTGGATATGCTCACCTCCTCGGATCTGGTGGTGGGAAAGGCATTCCAGTTGAATCGAACACCATCTCTGTCCTCGATGTCGTATATGGTCTCTGTTGTTTGCTGATAGAGAAGCAGAAGCAGAAAAGGAAGAAGTGTTAGGAGACAGACAGACAAGAACAAAACGCAGCGAAAAACATACCTCCATGGCTCGTGTATGCAGCAACGTAGCAGTGTGCAACAAATACCCGGAAAGTGTGTAGTGATACCCAGCAGTGGAGAAACTGGCGATGCTTTTGGTGATTGTGGTGATTGTGGTGATTCTCTCCGATAAGCAGCACCCACGGTCTAGACTCTGCGCACTAGAGCCCTGGTGAGCCCTGGTAGCCCTATCCGTTTTCTTGATTGTGATCTCAAACACTTCTCACTGCCCTCGATAGAGTTGCACCGTCTAGCCCTGGAACGAGCCCTGGAACGAGCCCTGGAACAGGAGCCCTAGCCAGCCCTGATCCCTCAGCCTGGGTCCGAGCAATTCAGGTATAAAGGGCCTGTGTTCGTCATCAGTGCTTTCTGCTTCCTTGATCTGTATCTTGTTTCTTTCTCCGGTTGTTATTCTGCTTTGTATCTTCTTTGCTGCTTGCTTCTCTCACAAAATGCAATCAGAAACTGCTCCTGTCACAAATCCCAGTCTTGAGGGCTACAGAATGCTCGTCAAAATGTGGACCGAGTTCTGGAACCCCACCAAAAAAACATTCACCTCTCGATGGAGCTGCCATGGCGTCTATGGCGACGAAAAGAAGTTCAATGTCTGGTCTGTGGCCGTCGCCTTGGAGGCAATTACCGATGGTGCAAGACTATATCCAAAGGAAATCACTCCCATGATAGACTTGGTTATCAACGCTTTGCTAAAATACAAGTCTCCCGAGCACCATGGTTACTGTGCTGTTGAAAACTTCTCTGGAAACAAGGACATATACTATGATGATGATGCTCAGGTGGCAATTGGCCTAATAAATGCTTATGAAGTCACTGGCGGGACTAAGAGAAACTATCTTGATCTTGCGAGAGATTTGCTAAGATTCCTCATTGGGGGTTATAATTATAACAACAATAAAGCAAAGGGTGGTGTGTATTGGCACGTTTCTCACGACTATGTCAATGCTTGCACAACTGCTGAAGTTGCAATTGCCTGTTTAAAATTTGCTAAGTTTGTTCCAAATGAAAGGAATTATTACGTTCAATTCGCTGCCCAATGCATAGAATGGCAAATCAACACTCTAATGGACCCTAAAGACTTCTTGATCAAAGATGGAAAAAGTGAAAACTCGGATAACATCAATGGTGCCAAATGGTCCTATAATACGGGCACAACTTTATCTGCTGCCTGCTATTTATACCACTACACCAAAAGCCCAAAATGGCTCAAAATTGCAAACAACTTGGTATCTGCTGCCACAAGCCATCATTCAGAGATCTTCGATAGAGACTATCCAATGGAAAAGAGATACTGGAGAGACATGTCCTATTTCGTCCAACTATTGTTTGAAGGTTTAGCTGACTATATGCTCTTTATTGGTCCAGAGGCCTCGCAAGAGGTTAAGGACTCAATAGAATATGAATTTAAAAGACATTTGGCTTATTTTAGAAAATTCAACTATGACAAAAACGACGGCTTCTACTACCAATGCTTTGAATGCCATCAAACAAGCGAAGATGCCTATAAGATTTATAAAGCTGAATGGAATGGCCACAAGAATTACAATCAAAACAAAGAAGACCATGCCAAAAATCTCATTGGTGCTGCTTCTGCTGCTAGAATTTGGTTCCAAGGTGCAAGAGTTGTGCCTGAGTTGGACCCTGAGATTTTCTCCAAGCCCAATTTTTAATCTTTCTCCATCTCCATCTCCATCTTTATCTCTATCTCTATCTCTTTCTCTATCTCTCCTATTCATTTATAGATAACCCATTATTATATAACCAATATAATCAATATAACCCATCTCAACTTATTATCGCAATCTTAAGCTCTTTCCACAGTAACTTGCTTGATCCGTTCTTTTTTTTTTTCCTCCACTTTTTGATCCCTCCGATCCAAATTTGTTTGTTTATCTTTTCATGTTTATATCCACAACGCAACCCAATAACTTGATCCAACTTCAAGCTCAATCGCACTCATCCTTCCTCTATCCATTGAAAAATGCCTCCCAAAAACAAAAATAAATTCAACATCGAACTAAATGAGGCCTCTGACGTCCATAGAGAAATTGCAAATGTCTTCCAGGACTGCCAATTAAACCCATCAGGCTTTAAAAGAAATGCAACTCTCTTGAAATTAATTCAAAAAAAAGCTTTCGAATCAAATCTTGAATCCTCTTTTAACTTATCCTTCACAAAGTTGATCAACAAAGTATTACCTGTAAAGAAATCAGAAATCGTTGGCGACAGAATTATCAAATTGACTACAAAATTCATCATGGAAATTAAAAAAGATGAAGAAAAAGAAAAAGAATTGAAAAGAAAAAGAAAATTAAATGCTAAAAAGAAAAATAATCAAAATAATGATGAAAATAACTCCGAAGAAGATCACGATGACGATGACGATGAAGAAGAAGAAGAAGAAGACACTCTTTGTCTGAAATTTATCAGCTATTTCCTTAGACACCTACTACGAGGTATTGATTCAAAGGATAAAAACGTTCGTTACCGTATAATCCAACTACTTGGCTGTATAGTTACATGTTTAGAAGAAATCGATAATGAGTTATACAATAATATAATTTGGAATGTTCAAAAGAGATTGTGCGATAAAGAGCCAAACATAAGATTAAAAGCTGTACTATGTATTTCAAGATTTCAAGGTGATGAAGATGATGAAGATGAACATGGTGTCAATAGATCGACCGCTAAACTATTATCAATCCTACAAAATGATCCAAGTCCTGAAGTCAGAAGAGCAGCTTTACTAAATATAGACAAGTCTCCTTTAACTTTACCTTACTTGGTTGAAAGAGCAAAAGATTTAAATACTATAACAAGAAAAATGGTATATTCACGTATAATGAAAGAAGTAGGTGATTTTAGAAAATTCGAAAAAACTTTAAGAGAAAACTTGTTATTATGGGGTTTAAAGGATCGGGAGCAAAGTGTCAGAAATAGCGCTATTAAAATGTTTACAAATCAATGGCTAAGTGATGTTAATAACAATTTACTAGAATTAATTGAGAGATTACATATCATTAACAGTGAAGTTGCTCCTTTAGCCATGAAATATTTCTTCCAAAATCGTTCTGATATTGTTTCCAACATGAAATTGGATAAAAAATTTTGGGGAAATCTAAACGCTGAAACTGCTTTTTTAGCAAGAACTTTTTTCAACCATTGTCAATCAAATAATTTACAAGAATATTTAGAAAAAAGCTTTCCAGAAGCTGCCGAGTTTGCAACTTTGATTTCAAAATACTTTACTGTCAGAAAGAAAATAATGCTAGAATATGAGCAAAATGATCCAATTTTTCTTAAAAATATTAATACATCAAACAATAATACATTCCAATCCTATAGCAATATTGAAAACGAATTGGATAGCCAATATGCAAATGATTTAAAAGAAATTAATTTCATAATGGAACAATTACTTACAATTGCAAAAGATTACGATTTTAGTGATGATTTTGGTAGAAGAGAAATGCTTCAAGTCTTGAGATCTTCTTTAACAAATGACAAATTAACTGATGTTTTAATCAAATATACTTTACAAACAATTAGAAAACTTTCCATTAGTGAAAATGATTTTTGTCAAATGATGACAGAAATAGTTTCTGATATCAGAGACACAGGCGAAAATGATATAAACGAAAACGATAAAGATCAGGATAAAGAAAAAGATGATGAAGACTTAGATGATGAAAATGGTGATAAAAGCCCTTTAAAATCAGGTAGCAGATCACCATCCAAGTCTCAGAAAAAAAATGTGGAAGAAATTGAAAGCCCTGATGTTATGATACAATGCTTATACATTGTTAAACACATGTTAGAATTAACTCGTCAACCTCTTGAAAATAATATTCCAGTTTCATCATTACTTGATAGTATAGTTACCACCTCAATAAGATCTCAAAATAAAATACTAAGAGAAATAGGCATTCATTGCTTAGGTTTAGGTTGTTTATTGGACAAACAACTAACAATTGGCCAATTACGTTTTTTTGGTCTTTGTTGTGCAAAAGCCCCAGAAAAGCTACAAATAATATGTTTAAAAATTATTTTTGATATTTTGGCTACACATGGAACTTCAGTTCTTGATATTGAAGGGAATATCGACACACTTTCCATGAATAAATTATTTTACAGGACTTTGAAAAGGTTCAATAAACCCAAAGTTCAAGCGTTATCCGCGGAAGGTCTTTGCAAGTTATATTTAGCAGATATTCTAGTCGATGAAGAATTATTTGAGACTTTAATTTTGGCATACTATAATTATCAAAATTCGAAAAATCAGGATCTTTTACAAGCTTTGACTTTTTGTTTGCCTGTGTATGCCTTTTCTCACCCCAAGCATCAAAAGATAATGGCAAGTGTTGCTGCAGATGCCTTTTATCGTTTATTGGATAATTATGATGAATTTCTAGATAAATTAGAACCTGAAGATATGGATACAATGGTTGAGCCCCAGCAAATTTTGCAAAATCTTATTCATTGGACAAATCCTCAAAATATTGTGAATTCTACCGAGGAAGAACAAAACAAGTCTACTAATCATCTCATGATAATTTTAGATTTACTTAATGGAATATTGAGTGGATCTATTGATAATCCAAAATATAGAAAAATTATAATTATGAATTTATCAAAATTTTATTTAGCCAAAGAAATTAATTTTGAATCTTTAAAAGAGTTGAATAAACTCATCAGTGCTTTTTCTGAGAGAGTGATACCTGATTGTGATGGTATTTCGAAAAATTCTTTTAATAAATTTAAAACAAAATTTGCAAAATTATTTGAAGAAGCAGAAGAATTGAATAATGACAAAGAAACTGAAAAAGAAACTGATGCTTCTCAAGATTCCCAAGACCAAGAATACGTTTCTGCTTTTATAAAAGAAAGTGAGGTTGAATCACCGAGTAAGGAAAACGAAATTGATAATCACAATGAGAATTCTGTAGAGGGTGGTTTGAAAAAAGATGTTTTGGAAAATGAAAATGATAAAAATGATAAAAATAATGAAAATGATGGAAATGATGAAAAAGATGAAATGAATGTAAAAGTCAAACGAGAAAATGACAGTTTTGTACATATAGATAATCTTTCAGAAAACAATCAGAGCGAAATAATAGAAATTGATTCTGATGGTGATATTTCTATGGAGTAATTTTCAATTTTATTGATTTTTCTACAAATTATTTTGGTGGAGCTCATTTTAGCAAGTAAACAAAATAGTGTTGGATTGACGAAATAAAAAAGTTTAACGGTGAAATACATATAGAATACTAAAAATACAAAAGGGAATGTCGAAGCTTAAACCAAAATCTAATCCAGCTTAAAATAAGATTGGAACAAAAAAAAAAAAAAGCATACTAGTGAAAATTGAAAACAAAAAAACAAACTAGAGCATAAGTAGTGAAATAATTAGAATATAAGTGATCTATCGTTACCAATAAATAAACCATGTACTTTTAATAAAAAAGCTTATATCTAAAATTTTTTGTAATAATGAGCAAATTTTTCCAAAAAGTCATTATCATTAGGAATATTTACTTGTTTATCTTCATTCTTAATCAAATCACTGATATCAAGAAAACCAAAATGATAAAATTTTATTACAACCAAGAACATGCAATAGAATACTTTATAATTATTATTCAATATTAAATGATCTAATATTTGTATCATCAATTGATTGTTAATTTTAAGAAGCATTTTAAATAAGACCCTAGTATTAAGATTTGAAAGCTCATCATCAAAAAACTTGGACAAATATTTTTTTAATGCAGGATTTGTTTTAATGTTTTTATCGAATTTTTCAACAAAAACATCGTTTAGAACATTTTTATCAAGCAAATTGATCAAAGTAAAGGTTTCTTGTTTTGTGAAATTTAACAATAGTATAGCGCTAAGAATTTCATCACCAAAATTTAAACCATTTCTCGAAATTGATTTACATAATAGTAGATTTTTTATTGAATCATAAAGCGGGCAACCTTTTTGGAACTTATCTAAATGAGGATATAATTTTTCGATAATCAAATCAATCTCAATTTCCTTATAAGATATATCGATTGTTTTTAGCTTATTGCTAAGCAAAGTCAATGACTCAATTTCTTCAGATAAGCCATTTTTTTTATTATAATAGGTAAGAATATCGAACCAGATTTTAAATCTAAGTTTTTGAGGAATATTTGTTTTCCAGCACAATTTAGACATTTCATAGATGGAATTTTTGTGAACTTCTTTAACTTTGACACTCAATTCAAACCATTTTTGAGCATTTTTTTGATCTAATTCGATTTTTTTCTGCTGCAAACTATTTCTTTTGAGTTCCTTTTTCTGTAGAGAAAAAATTAGATTTTGAAGTTCTTCATCATGTTTCTGTTTCTCTTGCTGAAGTTTAGGTGGTAACCACATTGGTCTTGTTTGAGATAAGACTTCAGTTTTTTCTGCGGAGATTAATTTTAAGTCTTCCAAGTGTATTTTCTCTGTTGAGGTTAAGCTTGAATTTGAAGAGGAAGAAAATATTGACAATTTAGAATCTCTGGAAGTTTTGGAGCTCATAGAGGAGCAAGATGATAAACTTTCAACTTCAGCTTGATTTAATATAAAGGAAGGTAATCTTAAAGAGTTTTCTTCTCTTTTTTTCATTTCTTTTTTAATATAATTATCAGAGCAAGATTTGTAGTATGCTGATAAGGCATTAGCAAATTGAAGATCAGGGGAGTTTAAAGTGGGCTCAACTAAGGGAGATGGAGGTAAAGCTGATGGAGAATCATTTAAGACATGCTTCATAAATTTTTCAGATTTTCCATTTTGTTTTGTGAATAAAGTTGCAGCGGAACCAGAAGCAAAGGGTATATTGTATAATAAAGGGTCATCATCGGATAGTAACTCATCATTTGTGTTAATGATAACATCATTTTGGTGGTTATTTGATTTGAGTAGTTTTGATTGAGACATTTGTCTTTTTAGCTGGTATTTTTGGCCTGGAGTTAGATTTGAATCAGGAGGGTAAGGAACTAAATTCTGGGATGGGTTGAAAGAGCTTGTTGGTAATTCATTTCTATATTTTGATTGGCTTAGTTTACGGGATAAATCCAGGCCAATTGATTGAGCAAAAGCGTTTGAATTTTTATAAACATTTAAAATGTTGTGAGAATCCTGAGAGTCGAAAAAGAGAGTATTTTGGTAATAATCGTTATGATGAGGGTTAGAAATGTGGGAGTTATTTTGATTATTTTGACTATTAAGGTCAAATTCGGGATTAGAGGGGATAGGATCATTTTTATTTTTTATGACATTTTGTAGAGAAGGCATTGATTGGAATCTTTTGAAATTATTTTGATCAGAAGGAGAGAAGTTTGAATTATAGGGAGAATTTGAGTTTTTGATTGGTATTAGTTTTGAGTTTATATGAGTATTGATTCTGGTATGTTTTTCTAATTCAGCTTCAGAGAAGTTTGGGTGTTTTAGATTTGATAAGTTTCCCAATTTTAAAGAGGGTTTAGCTATTCTTTTTAGGGAGTTATTTTCCAATTTAGTTGAATCGAAGTTGTTGGTAGTAGTGGTAGTGGTAGTGGTGGCGGTAGGGATATTATTTTGGTTTAATTGAGATAGTGTGTTGTTGCTTGCAATAGTTGTTGTGCTTGTGTTCGTGTTGTTACTGTTAACTCTGACCAAGGTGTTTTCGCTTATATTTGATAGTACAGTATTTTCAGTTGCAACTGAATCAGCGCGAACATGAGTGTTGTGAGATGGGTTTGGATTGGGATGGTAGTCAGGAAAGGGGGTATTGCTGGTGTTGTTTTGGTTGTAGGTGTTGGAGTTGAAGTTGGAGTTGATATTTATATTATCATAATCATCGTAAGGGCTGTCATTATTGTTGCTATTAATATTTTTTGATATGATGTTGTTTAAATAATTATTAAAATTCGGAATTGGGTTAACATCTTGAGAGATTGATTTTTGGTTATCAAATTGGAAAGGAAGTATGTTTTGAGAATCAATGCTTGTTAGAGAGGATAGTCTTGAGTTCGAATTTGAAGTTGAGTTTGAGGTTAGTTGTGAATCAAAAATGAAGTTTCCAGATTCCGAGGAGGTGATTGAATCATTTGATATGGGTCTTGAGTTTAATTTTTTGAGATTAATATTTGTGTCGTTGTTGATGTTAATTGGGGATGGGTTGTGGAGGTCTGTGGAGGAAGATAGGGAGGAGGATCTTAGGAGAGAGCCGTTGAAGTTGTTTGGGATGAAAGATTTTTTAAAGTGTAGGTTTATGAGGTTATCGCTTGGTCTTGAGCCCTTTGAGTATTTGTTTAAAGAGGAGGATGAGTTATTATGGTCATTGTTGTTTTTTGTGTTGTTGTTGTTGTTGCTTGATACACTTAGGGTGCTTCGACTGAAGGAGTTGATTGTATTTGAAGGATTTGAGTAAGAAAAAGATAAGGATCTCTTTGAAGAAGATGAAGAGGAGGAGGTTAGGGAGAATTGTGGTTTGTTATAATCAAAGGAAATATCTTGGAATTCAGCATTATTTATTTTAATCAAGGCGTTATTTAGTTGGTTGATCTTTTCTAACTCAATTTTTTTCTGTTTGAGCTGGTTGATTTTGATTTCTCTTTGTTTCAACAGATTTTTGTTTTTTTCTTTTTGGGATTGCAAGTCGGCTTTGGTGAAGGAAGACATGAATGATTAAAAAGATAAGGGAGGTAAAGTAAGTAGAGAAAGAGGAAACAACGAATGGAAAAGGCTGGATTGAGAAGTGGAGAAGTAGCAGGTGAAGAGGTAAAAGATGGGATTAGATTGATGTATTAGTTATTAAATATATTTGAATATGATATATAATTAGCGTGTAATTAGCGTAAAAGCAGGATAAATAGAAGAAATAGGATAAATAGGATAAATAAGGTAACTAGATCTGGATAAAACTGACTTTGGATTAAAATGTGATAAAGATAGATGAAATGTATTGTTTAAATAATATTTTTCAAGTAATATTAACAAAACGAGTGAATAAAGTTGGTTGGAGATTAAGAAGAGTAAGAAATCAAGAGTCTTGTAATAGGATTTCAAGTGAATTTCAATAAGATTTCAATAGGATTTCATTAAATGAAAGGTTTTAAAGAAGGACAGCTTTAATGTCGTATAATCGTTATAATCGTTGTAGTTGTTGTGGTCGTTGTAAATTGTAAATATAATCTTTATAGTTTTATGGATATCGTTATGAAGTGGTCAATCTTTGGAAGAGGACACAAGAGGTGGTATGTTTGGTGATATAGCCTGGTGATATGGCTGTGGTGCCAGTGAGATATGGCTGGGTATTGTGAAGAAAGAGAAGAGAAAGAAGAGAAAGGGAAGATAATCTGTGGAGCGATTATGGCTTGGGAAAGACAAATGGAGCTGGAGGATGGTAGAGCACTGGGCTTTATATATCTGATGTAACGTAAACAAGAGAAAGAAGCAGTGGAAGGAATCTGGACGCTTATAATCTTCAAGAGATGAGGTTTGAACCTGAGTCTGAGCCCAAGGGTATTTCTGTTTGTTCGCTATCCGTTCGTGAGACACCGCTGCTGGTGCTCCCAGCTTTCCTCTTCATTCACCGCTCTTCTTCTGCACATCAATGCTGCACCAGAACCTAAATTTACCGCCCGTGCGCTGCTACACTTCATCCGCTCTGCTGGCTCCCACAGAGCACGCGCTACTATTTTTAACCAAGTTGTTGATTGGCCACTGCAGACGCTCCAGCAGCTGTTTTCTGCGTTGGTGTGCATACACACCGCTTTCTGCCGCGCTAGTGCTCTGCCTAGCTCTGAACAGCCCGATTTGTGTGTCTCAGACGCTCTTTTGGGTGCTGTGAGCCACAAAAGCCGGCCAGGCCTAGACCGCTGCAAGCTGTCATCGGCGTGTAAGCCTGGGTTTGGCGTCGCCGGAATGTGCATGGATACTTGGCGGAATGTGGAGCTCAGCTGCCAGTCCAAAACACCACCGGCAACACCATCTTCCGAATGCGGAAGAACCACTGTCTGCGTAATCTCACCATTGCTTGTTCAACTGCGTTCTAGCCCTTTTCCTACTCTTGAGTTGTTCTTCTTCCTCTGTTTCTTTCTCTTCACACCTTTCTCTCTTGGCCTTCATTTCTTGTGTTACTGCATATCCACCCATATTCATTTCAATCTACTTGCCGGACCAATATGGTTGGATCTCGTGCGCTATATGCACACAATAAATACAGGCTTAAATCTTCCATTGCTTTGATTTCTGTCTGAATTTTTTCCAGGTCTTGGCAACTCTTTTCTTGTTCTTATTTCTGTGCTCTGAGATTCAAAAAACCCTTAGAATTCCAATTAAATAATCCCATGCAAATCAATCTCACTTATCAGCAGTTTCACTACCTCCACCTCTCTCGCCTGTTTTCTTACATTTTTGTTTTGCGACAGCAGAATTTCCCATTCATTTTTCGTTGTATCTGTTCCTATTGCTTTGCATTCCATCAAATTTCATCTTTCCATTGCTTCATATCAATTTTTTACCAAACTTCTTTTTTTCTCTTTTCTTCTCTTTTTTACTCTTTTTTTTTTTTTTCTCTTTCCTTCTTGTTTTTTTCTTTATTTTTTTCTCACTTCTTTTGTTTATTTTTTTACTCTGCAAATTCCATTTTTACTTTCCCAAATAAGGGTTCACTGCACTGCATACAAATCCGTCGTCCTGGATTTGGTTTTTCCCAATAAATAAGACCTTTTCAAGTGTACTCGAACGTTATTTCAAATCTTATTCACCCGCAAAAGCTTAATTGTTCTTTTCCATTGCCGCTATTGGTAAGTTTCAATTCAGATATAATCAATTGTCATCCGTTCACTATATCGTACTCACATATCTCTACCTATATACTTCGGTGTCTCACGTGTTCACTGGCATAGACGTCGATGGTCCATTTTTCTCTAGCTTATCGCTCGTTTTCCATAATTTAGTCACTGTGTGAGGTCGAGTTAAAAAGGCTAGCCCTGATTTGCCATAAAAATTCAAGTCTCCCAAAAACGACTCTTTACTGCCTGTAAACCCAAACATTGGTAATGGCACTGGAATCGCTACATTGACTCCAACTTGTCCCACTTCCACTTCATTTTCAAATTTTTGGCCATTAATTCCACTTGTAGTGAAAATTGAACACCCATTCCCATATTTGTTCCCGTTGACTATCTCAATTGCTTCGTCCAAGGTCTCTACCAGAATAACACTCAACACTGGCCCAAATATTTCTTCTTCATAGCACCTCATCCCAGGCTTAACCTCTCCCAATATAGTGGGCCCAAGAAAATTCCCATTAGGCAACTCTTTGCTCCTAAACTTCCTACCATCTAATAACACTTTAGCTCCTTCTTTCTTTTCACTATACCCGATTATTTCAATCGCTCTATCCAACGCTTCCTTCGATATCAATGGTCCTAAATCACTTTTCTCATCAAATCCACTTCCAACTTTTAGTTTCTTGCTTTCTCTAATCAATTCCTTTATCCATTTTTCACTTTCTCCAACACATACCAACACTGAGATAGCCATACACCTTTGTCCTGCGGCTCCAAATGCTGCCCCGATTACTCCATTAATAAACTGCTCCTTATTTGCATCCTTCATAATAACCAAATGATTCTTCGCTCCTAAATTGGCTTGACACCTTTTCCCGTATTTACTGCTCTTTTCATATATATACCTTCCGGCTTTGTCTCCTCCAACAAACGTTATCCCCTTCACCTTCGGGTGCTCAATCAATGTATCAACCGTCAAATTCTTCCCATGAACAACATTAACAACCCCACTGGGCACCCCTGCCTCTTTGCTCAATTCAGCTATAATAATCGACGCCCCAGGTGCCCTCTCTGACGGTTTAATAACTGTACTGTTCCCACTAACTATAATCAATGGCAACGTCCAAAGTGGTATCATCGCAGGAAAATTAAATGGACATATCGACCCAACCACTCCAATTGGCTTTCGACTCATTTTGGTCTCCATATCTTTTGATACCTCTAAAACACTCCCCAACAAATCTGACGTGCAACTACACGCTACTTCTGCCACTTGTATCCCCCTCAACACATCTCCCTTTGCATCCGAAAACGTCTTTCCTTGTTCAAGAACAATACTACCTGCAATTCTATCCATGTTTTTCCTTAATAACTCCACATATTTGAACGCAATTTGCTGTCTCTTGATTATCGAAACCTTGCTAAATTTCTTAAATGCTTCATCCGCTGATTCAATAGCCTCGTTTAATTCCTCAACAGTAGACTGGGGAACTCTTCCAACAACATAGTTCGTAGATGGATCATGAATATCAAACCATTCTTTAGATTTTGATTCAATCAATTCATTATTAAGAAAAGATGGTGTAATATACGGTTTATCTTTTTTTTTGGTATGTTCTCTAGTATATCTATCCCATGTTGAATTGAGTTTAACTGTGTTATAATATCTTAAATTATTTAGATTCAATTCAAATCTACCTAATCCATATCCTTTTCTAATCATTAATCTAGAAATCATTTTAATTAATAATATACTATATTATATTATATTAACAATCTTTTATTAATATTGATATTAATAATAAAAATGGAAATTGAAATTGAAATTGAAAATTAAAGAGTGGATTTTATACCAAATTTATATCATCATCAATACCAAATTAATATTCTAATCTACTGCTTTTTACTTTGTTCTTCAATCCATTTGCTGATGATAATTGGTTTATCTTGAATTTAACTCCCATTCTGATGGGAAGCCAATGCCGAGCTCCTCTCTTTCTCTATTCAACTGAATTGCATTTTATGGAGACAATAAATTCGACAAAAACGATAAATAATACCATACAAACTTCAATTTTCCAATAAAAATAAACACATCACGTGTAATTTAGGGTTCTAATTTTTTGGAATTTTTCAATTTTTCAGTTATATTCCATATTATCAACTATGAACCAAATTATGAACAAAGAATATTGATTTAATTTAATTGAAAATGCTCTCCAACGATAAGTGTATACATATATTTATATAAATATTTATAATCAATTAGCAAAGATAAAAGACAAAGAAAAAAAAACCAATAAAAAAGATAAGATGAATGTTAAATAGTGTTATTAATTTCAATTTGTTAACCGTAATAATTATAATCTGAGTTATACTCTTGATCTAGACTCATTAAGTTTTCTTCTTTATCTTCAGAGTTAAAGTTTTGATTACCATTATTATAATTATTATTATTATTGTTATTATCATTATTACTATTGTTATTGTTATTGTTATTATTATCATTATAATTATTATTATAATTATTATTATAGTTTAAATTGGTATTAATACTATCATTATAACTTTCACTATAATTATCATTATTATATGTATTGTTATAATTGCTGTTATAAAAACTTGGATAACTATTCATATTGGGAGATTGAATAAACATATTATTTGATGAAAGATCCAAATCGTTTGAATTCAATATATTTAATAACTTTTGATTGTTATTAATATTATTATTAGCTTGCAATAATGAAGAGACATTGGGTATTGGAAATTTTGGGAGTTGATTATGATTTGCAAACTCAGATGAATTAGCTTTTCTCAATTTGGGATGATTTTTCAATGATGAAAATTCAGACGTTTCTCTTTCATCAAGATTTAACGAATTGTTTAAACTGTATTGATGATGTTGCTGTTGCTGTTGCTGTTGTTGTTGTTGTTGTTGTTGTTGTTGATTCAAGAAGATCGAACCAACAGATGACATTGAAGAAATTGAAGAGCTGGATGATGTTCTTTTATAATAATTTTTAGATCTTGAAGATGGTCCTTCATTAAATGTACAGTTCATATTGTATTCTTTACATAATTTACAAGGTATACCAGCTTCAATTATACAACAAGATTTTCTTTTTCTACAAAAATCACAAGGTCTTTGTCTTCTAGATTTATATCTTCTTGTAATTATTGGACTTTCCTGATTCATATTCATATTCATATTCATATTCATATTCATATTCATGTTCATATTCATGTTCATGTTCATGTTCATATTATTAAGATTATTGATGTTGCCAATATTTAATGCGTTCGTTCCATTGTTATTCTGATCCGGATTAATATTGGAAGAACCATAATAATTTTGCTGATTATACGACATCTGTTGTTGCTGGATATAATAACTAATATTTTTAGGAGGAATGCTATTCATTTTCCATCCATAATGCTTCCTTTATTTTTTTTTCGTTCTTCCTTGAAAAGTTTATCAGTTAAAGTTAAGAGAGGAACTTCAGCATAAATATATATTTTTTTTTCTTTTGTTTACTAAGTTAGGCAATATCAATGTTGCTAATTAGGTCGGGCAAACTATGGATAGGCGATAATAATAATGATTTGTTATTTGCTGGACATATGTGGAGAAAGTTCTGGTATATATATTTGGAAAAGCAGTGAACATAATTTGAACACCAGGAAGAAAAGGAAATAAAAGTACAGACATCACTAGCCCAATTAAAGTAGTTGAAAGCTGTTGATAGTAAGTGAAAAGAACCGATGAAGTGAGCGACTCGTGTTTAGAGCATAAGGGCGGCCTTGGAGCCAGAGCCAGCTGGCGGATAGCTGGGCTCACCGCAGCAGCGGCAGCAGTAGGAGGGCCGAGACAGCAGCAGCAGAAGCACAGGAAGCAGAGGCAGCAGAGGCAGCAGAACGAGACCCGCTGGGCTGGGCTGGATAGAGACCCGGCATGGTGGTGGAGGAAGAGCTTATCAGCGCCGGTTTGCATTACTCAAAGCGGAGGAGATATACATCACTGATAACGAAGGGACTACTGCTTTAGTGGTTGGGATGAGATGCGCTATTTCCAGAGTTGTGTTATAGGAGAAGGTGAAACCACCGAAAAAAAAGAAATATTGATCTGAGCTGAGAAAAATACTATTTTAATACAGTCATAGGTGTGAAAATGAACCAAAGAATGATGAAGAAACTTAAACATGAAATATGAATCTATGTCAATGAAACTAGTTAATACCATAAGCAGCAATGAAAACTGGAACTAAAATGAAAATTTAAAAGGAGTGAATCATGTCAAAATTGGAAAAAGTTTCGTTATATACACAAAAAAATGAAGATCTGTGAACAAAAAAAATATGGGTTGGTAATAATAAATAGTATGAACTAAAAAAAATAAAAAAAAATAGTGGTAAATGGTAAATGGTAAAGGTGACTTTTGAAAATCTTTAAAAATGATTTTCTTTAAAATTGGTGTTCGGATTATTCTTAAAGTTAGTTTTGAATTAATTTTTGGCTTTATTTGAAATATTTTCTTTATCTTTATCTTGACTTTGGTCTGAGTCTTTACCTTTATCGTTTTCTTCTGTTTTTGAATTTTTTTCTTTTTCACTCTTTCCAAGATTGCTTGTAGGAGATTGGCTTAAATCTTTTTTGATTGTAGCATTTGAACTAGTCATCTGAACCGCAGGGTTTTTGAACGATGTACTAGGGTTTCCTGTTGCTGACAATAATGGCAATGTTAGGCCAAAGTTTGTTGCAGTTGGTGTAGCTCCAAAATTCCAGTCTAAATAAAAATTGCCTGGTGATAAAAATGCATCATTCATAAATTTCGATGGATATCCACTCAATGGAGTCTTTTCACCATTATTAAAGATCGATGATCGAAGCACAGCGGAATTCAAATTATTTGGGGGCATAAACCGGCTTGGTGAAGGAAATGGTAGTTGGAGTATACCGCCATTGGCTGGAAATGCAGATAATGGTGTTCCCTTTGTTGAGTTACTCTCTCTGATGGTTTTTAAAGGATTGGGATTATCATTATTGTCAGTCAACGAGTCAAATTTCTTGTTAAAGTCTTCAATTTTAACATCAATGTGCAATGGCTTGTCTATTGAAGACGTCTCCTTGGCTGTTATAGGCCTACTTATGGTCATTGCACTATCCTCAACATGGTCATCATCTTTCGTCTCCATTCTCTTTTCAACAATTGAATCATTGCCGCCAGTATCAATTGGTATTTGAACTCGAAGTGTTGGTCTTGATAATGGGTTACTATTTGAAGTATTCTTTGAGTTATTGCTATGAACGCTATAAGCAGGACTAGCAGCAGAATTATAAGGAATATTAGAGTTGATCATATTCATAGCAGATTGCATTGAATTTGTTTTCCGTAAGGATTCCAATGAATTTGTCATGATACTTTCACTACTACTGTTAATATTTCTATTAAAAATGTTATTATCGTTATCACTCTCATTATAAATATCCTCATCTTCATCATTTTCATTTTCATTGTCATTCTTATTTTTATTTTTGCTTTTGCTTTTATTGTCTTTATCTTTATCTTTATCATTTTTCTTATCATTTTTTTCACTTTTTATTTCTTTTTCATTTATAATCTCTTCAGTGTTCTTTTTAGATTTATTATTATTATTGTCATCATTTTTACTGATTGTAAGGTTATTTATTGCTTGAGAAGATTCGGATATTGTTCTTTGTAAATCAGTTGGAGGAGTTAAAGGTGTTGTTGATTCTAATTTGTTGTTATTAGGAATTACATTATTATTACTATTACTATTACTATTATTATTGTTATTGTTATTATTGTTATTCATGTTTTCAGTATTTAGTATACCATTTAAATTATTTGGGTTGTTAAAATTCAAAGAATTTTGAATTGGAGGTAATTTTTGAATAGAAAATTGGTAATTTGCCATTAGATTATTTTGCATTGGATTGGCGAAGTTTGGGTTATTTAGAAGATTTGGAAAGGCATTTGGAATTGAATTTGCAGCTAAAAATTGTCTTTGTAGTAATTGAGACAGTAAAATGTATTGCTGCTGCTGCTGCTGCTGTTGTTGTTGTTGTTGTTGTTGCTCAAATTTAGAGCTTGCTATTTTATTTGTTAAGCTTTGAGAGTTGTTGTTTAAATTATTTAGAGCGGCTATATTATTGTTTTGGATATTTAGATTGGGGTTGTTTAAATATAAGAATTTATTGTTTAAACTAGCCAAAGTAGATTGGTTTGAATACGGGGTTGTTAAATTAAAGTTACTGAGTGGATTTAAAGGAGATAAATTATTTAGATTTGATATGTTGTTAATGTTGTTGAGATTGTTAATGTTGTTGAGATTGTTAATGTTGTTGAGATTGTTTAGGTTATTAAAATTATTGAAATTGTTGAAAGAATTGTTTCTGACTATTTGCTGAATTGTAGGAGGGGGTGGTAGGAAGTTTAATTGAGAAGCAAGATATTGGTTATTTTGGGATTGAGAAGATTGGTGGAAATTAAAAGGTTGAACTTGAGGAGATAAGACCGAGGAGGCAGATGAGCTTCTTGCGTGTTTAATGGATTGATTTTTTATGCTTGATAGAGAACTTTTCTTCAAATGGTTGACAGTGAAGCTATTGCGATTGGTGTTGATGTTGATGTTGTTATTGTTTGGAGTAGATTGAGCACTGCTTGTGTTGTTTGTGTTGTTTGTGTTGTTGTTATTGTTATTTAAGTTATTTACGTTATTGAGGTTGTTGAGATTAATGTTATTAAGACTGTTGATGTTGTTGAGGTTTAGATTAGTGAGATTTGGATTTGATTTATTGAGATGGGTATCTAAAGTGGCATTGAAACTTGAGTTTATGCTACTTGTTGAGCTCTTTGATTTCTTATGACGCTTGAGCGAAGGTTCAGAATCAGAGTCGCTGTCGTCTTCATCGTCATCGATGTCGTCGTTCATTAGGATGTCATCTTCGATGTTTGCGCTGGTGTTGTTGGGCAAAGAGTTGGCGTTTGAATTATTAGTTAAAGAGTAGTGAGAGGTGGAACCAAAAGGGACTCTTGAGTTTGGGTTGTTATGAACTCTTGTAATCTTTTTGTAGTCGCCATAATAAGAAGGATCTTTTGATTCGTATGGCTGAGGACAGTCAAGATATTTATGTAGTAATTCTTTAGTATCCGAAGAACTGAACTCGTAGAGTTTATTGTTACTGTTTAATATAATGACAGCGAGATCTACTTGACAAAGAATAGCCAATTCATGAGCTTTTTTAAATAGACCCTGTTTTCTTTTGACAAACGTTCTATTGAAAAAAAATTGAAAGAAAAAAAAAACAAATGAAATGAAAAAAAAACAAGAATACAAGATAAAATATTCAAAGGATTGGAATCAATCAGGTAAAGTTTAGAATCTAATTGAATTCAATTTAATTCAAACAATATTAGACGCAAGTATAATTTGAATTGGATTGAATTGAATTAATGTCAAAGTAAGATAAAAGAAGTGGTTATTAGTATGCAATGATTCGTTTTAAAAAGATAAGCTTAAGATAGTAAATGCAGAGAAGGAAGGTGTGTGTTGTTTCAAGACGTGGTAGAATGGTAGAAAGGTAGATAGGGAGAATATAAAACAATAGCTGGGTGATACATACACTGTTCTGTTGCGCTCGTCAGTGATAGGTTGGATGGCAATTTTTCTTCTTCCCATGATTAGGAAAAGTATATATATATGAAGGAGAGGAGTGATGAAGCTATGAGCAGGAGTGGGAGCTTTCTAATAATAAATTGGACGATAGAATTGGATATTTATAGCACACAGAAAATCTGACACAAGAGGAAAACCAAAAATAAAACTGGAGCAGAATGTGGTGCTGTGCTGTTGGCTCGGAGTGGGAATTTGCCTGAGGGAGAAGGATTATATCGAGGTACCAAAACAGGCAGAGAGGGCTAGTTGAAGCAATTGGAGCAGGAGCTGGAGCAGGCGATGGATGATTGATCTGTAGCAGCCAGAAAGTGAGATCGATTATGGGTTCAAGGAGTATATATAAAAATAACAAATTTTTACAAATAGCGGAATACTAGAACGAGCCCAACACAAAAATACCCTGCTGCTATTTATAGCATATCTATTTTCGGCGGTCTAAGCCGCACATTCACGTACATGTGTCTCACGTGAGCGCTGACTAAGCGCTGACTCAGAAATGAGCCGTGATGCTCTTTGTTAGCGCTGCTGTTTGTGCTTCTTTTGGCGCTGGAATAACGCTGCAAGGCAGGTACAGGTTTGCCCAATTGAGTTTACTCAGAGCAGCAAATGTATCCACAGCTGTTTTTTGGCTTCCATTAATGAGGTGTGTTCAATGAGAAAGGCCGAATTTGTTGGATTACTAATGATGAGTATGATGTATGTTTGCAATAGACGTGTTAGTATTTGGTGCTTTGTGCCTATATATAAGATTCTATTATTCGCTTGATTTTCAAGAAGATGTTTATTTTTAATTGTTTGGCTACTGCACAAGTTCTAAAAATAATTCACGATCATGGTTTTGATCGGAAAAATAGAGCTTTGAACTTTTAAGTCCTGGAAGTATGCGGAAATCACTGGATTTGTGATTTGTTCATACGATTATTAATTCGAGAAATCAATTGATAGAGCATTTGAGATTGGGTTATTTTTAAATCGAGAAACTATTTGATTGGTCTATTATATTTGCAAAGGGGCAACGAAAAAATATTTTGCAAATAAAACTAATTTCGACCATTTTCCTATCCTATTATCCGTTCACCTGACCTTATAGCTGACTATGACGGCATTTAAACGGGTAATACAAGTGATCAGGGTAAGATGATCAGCTAAAGTAATCGAGATGATTCAAGTATAGGAAGAGTTAATTTTGTTATCCGTCCGATTATTCCACAATCTCCAAAAACAGAGAAAAGAAAAAACGAAAAAATAAAGGAAAAAAACATAAAAACATAAATGAGTCACATGCGCTTTCAAATCGTAGAACATTGCAATAATAAATTGTTTACCCTCTTTAACCTTATCAGATTTAGCACTATCTTTATTTTTTAAACTTTTTTTAATTCACAACTCCAAATATTGGTAGCGGCCCGAAAATCGCTGCTTTACACTTGCCATGATTCCTAAAACTCAACTTCACGAGCTTAGATATATTTTTGAAATAACTTGTTTTGCTTTTTGTTTTTGCTAGTTCTATGGGAGTAACATTATTGAGGCTTTTTCCTTATTAAATCTCTTATCGGTCGCTCTGGATGAGCTATATAACTTATGTATCTCACAGTTCAAACCATACACTCACACAATCTTTGTTTGTATTTGGCTTGTAATCATTTTATCTTGAATTTTATTGGGATTCAATTGCAGCTTATTATATTTTGCTATAGTAATTATTTGATTATTAATGCCCGGACTGACTGAAGATATAATAAAGATCATGCACTAACACTGACGTTTTTGAAATGTGTTTTTTGATAAATTAATCTCAAAAGCAATATTTCTAGATGTTATTGTTTTCTTTTCTCCAATTTTGGACAAAAACAGTAGATGATTCAAGAGAGAGCTGATAATACACTTCACCAACACCAACAAAATAGACAACAGAGACATACAATCTCCATATTAAACGTTTTTCTGTCATTATCAGCTTATTTCAGGCCAACGCTAAATAATAATTCCAAGCCCTATCTAAACGTCCTACAGCAGCCAGCCTGGAATTGGGCAGCACATCCTTAGCGCTGTTCTCTGCTTTGCTCCACAACAGGTCCGGGCTGGTGCCTCAGAGCAATGCACGCTTTGATTTGACACATCGGCATTTCGGCCAGCATGTTTGCATGCGCCACCGTGTTAGCCATCGTGGTCTTATGCATAATTATTTTACATAACACCCGTGCTCTCACTCTTTGTCCAGTCACGGGCAAACGTTTGATCAGCGCGCAAGACCCGCCGGCATAGGCTACAGAAGTGATGCAGTCGAGTCGCAGCGGAGCACTTTCCGAGCGGTGCGGGAAAATCACCGAAGCGCGACGATGAGTGTCGGTACAGCCCAAACGTGCCCTGCTTTTCTCTTCCTAATGCCGATTTTGTCCCAAAAGGAAAAGCGGAGTATCTTCTTTCCCTCCAGAAAGGTTGCTCATTCTGCTTCCAATGCGATTCCACAGGGGGCCTGTACTGTTTGCTTCGTTTGCCACACTTATGCTCTGAATCCTCTCCCGTACCTACAGGGACTCCTAAATGCTCTTACACCTTACTACACAAATTTTTCAGTGATCAAATTTTATTCCTAATACACTTCTATCAACTATAAATACTTTTCAATTTATCTATCTTTTCTACTGTTATCCTCTTCAATCTTTAAATTCAGTTTATCCTCCAAATCATAAATGGCTAATACAAATTCAAATTCAATTAATAACATAACTTCAAAGGTCCCAAAGAGCTTCAAGGGTATCGCTGTCTTTGGCTTTGGCTCAATCGTCCCCATGCAGCTTTTTTACAATCATGTCAAACAACAACAGTTGCAACCTTCCTACAGAAGTCAATTTCATTGTCATCAACAGCAATTGCAATTTTCCTCTTTATCTTCCTCTAATTTCAACAACATAATATCTAACAGCAATAACAACAATAACAACTCACTAAACAATATAAACAACATAAACAACATCAATACCATAAATAACTTGAGCAATCACAATGATATTAGTGAAATCGAGTCTCCGATAAATAAAGATGATAAACTTTTTTTCTACAATGATCTAAAATCGCTCAACACAAACAATAGCTCTCATAATAACAATGACATCAATGATTTAAACAACTTTAACAATCTCCATAACGGTAGCATGGAATACTCTTTAGTATCTTCTCCAGCCAGATTATCCTCCAAGGATAACAACCTACTTTATAATGACTTAAATTTTAACACCTTACATCAATTACCCTCCAACATCATAAACACCAATAATACCAATAATGTCATCGATGCTAATAACTCAAATCAAAATGACTTGTTTACTAATTTGAATGAATCCTTATTCAATGAGGTTATTAAAAGAGCGGAAATTAAACAATTAGCATGGGAAGTTAATGATATTAATTTCTAATCAATAAAAAGAGAAAGGGAGAAAAAACAAAAAACAACATTTTCCTCAATTATCTAGTTTAATTATTTATCTCGCTTTACTTTATATTTATATTTATGATCCTAACTTTAATTATATATCTTACTTTATACATTTTTTTTTCCTATATACTTGACTATATTATAATGATTTTAATTCATATTTATTCCTAATTTATTTCCAATTTACACGTACATATCTCATTCAACTAATGACCTATTATCTTCGATAATTCTCTCACTAACCGCCTTCATAACTAACAAATTATCTCTATTATTTAAATTACAACTCTCTTTTAATTTCTTTAAATTATCAAATGTCTTTTTTAACGTATTATACTTTTCTGAATCCTTTGAATCCTCATTATCCAGATTATCAACACTAAATGTCTTGTATACTTCGATAATATCATCCAATATATTGTAAATCAAATAACTAATTAAATTAAAATAAATATCTTCAAAATTTTTAAAATCTTTAAAGATATCCTCAAATAACTTGATTTGATCTTTTTCTTTCCCATTATTATACTCTTGTAATACTGAATTTAGAGCATCATAATAATAGTTCACTGTATTGTAATACTTCTTAATCGCCTCATCTCTTACATTTTCATTCCCACTACTAGTATCGCCAGTTTGGTCAGTTTCGTTATTGCTCTTCTTAATGTTTACTGAAGTTGGTAGATTCTCTTTGCACCAAAACAAATCATTGACAAATCCTTTATTTCCCTTATCTTTACTCTTATCGCCCTTTAATAAGTCATTAATGGCTTTACTAATCAACTTGTCAACAGAGTTACTAGTATCGAGTAATACTTTAAATGCATTCAAGCTAATCTGTAATATACTATCATAAGCATCTGACATTTTTAAAAAAAACAAAAAATTTCCTATTCTCTTGTATTCTTGTACTCTTATAATCCTGTAATATAGTACTATGCTATATAGTGCTATGCTAATATATTATACCTTCGCTGGAAAAGAAAGTTATAACTTAGAATCTGATTTGCCAAATGGCAACTTTCAATTTCTTTTCGGCTCGCTTTTTTCCCTTAATTCCTTTGCTGGACATGAGCACACCAAAGCACTCTCAATTTGTAATCATAGCCCTTATCATATGAACATTTAAAAAAACAACAACCATATAAATACATATAAATCACCTTAATTGAATACAACGATTAAAATCTATTACCTGGACAGCATACCCAGATACCATACGCAAAATACCTTTAATCAACATTGCTCAATTCAATTTAATTGTAATTACACTTTTAAATATTCATATCCATTCTTATACATTTTCATCTCACCATGTCTTCGGTGGCAACTAACAATACCCCAGTTCAAATTCATAACATCGAGTTTTCCTACGCAGACGCCTTCAAGTACTGGTGGAACTCATCCTTTAGAACTCTAAGAAAATACGAAAAAGATTTATTAGAGAGCAATCTCTCGTTTTACCCCATCTCGGATGATAAGAAAATAACCGGAAAATTAATTGACACCAAAATCGATGATCATGATAATTATATTCACGAATTCTATATTGAAAATAATGAAAAAGATTTAAAAAATCTCAAAAATGAAGATAAACATGTAATCTTCATTCATGGTTATGGCGCTTCGTTGGGATTTTATTTTAAAAACTTTCAAGATTTTTCAAAGATTCCCGGTATTAAATTACACGCAATTGATTTGCTTGGTTTTGGTTTGTCATCTAGACCAAGGTTTCCCAGAAAACAGAAGGAGAAAATCGATGATATTGACAGATCTCAAGATTATTTTTTAAGTTCTTTTGAGAGCTGGAGAAAGGCTAAAAAAATCGATAATTTTGTGTTGGTTGCTCACTCATTAGGTGGATACTTGGGTTTTTTGTATTCTTTAAAATACCCTGAACATATTGACAAGTTGGTACTAATTTCGCCTGTTGGTGTTGAAAGAAACTACTATTCGATCAGAGAAAATTTGGCCAATAATGAAATTAATAATCATTTGAAGAACACAATTTTGGATAAATTGGCTCCAAGAAAAGTCAAAATGGAAGACGTTGTTCCCAATGGTAATGCTTCAGATTCGGATGTTACTACTAATACTGAGACCAACCAGGGTCCTAATAAAGATGATAAATACAAAGGCAACCATAAACATAAAACCAATAAAGACAGTGGAGCACCTGAAGATCCGAATTCAATAGCAATTAACCAGGGCCCTGATTTGAAAAAGGAATTCAATACAGACAACCAGGTTGAGTTTGACCATGAACTACAGACAAATAGATTATTGAGTATTCCAACATGGCTAAGAATATCTTGGGAAAGATCACTAGTGTCTCCCTTTGATATACTACGAGCAATGGGTCCTTTGAGTCCACATTTCGCACTAAAATGGTCGAGAAGAAGATTCAGCCAAACATTTAACAACACGAAGGATTTCATTACAATGCACAACTACGTTTACTACTCGCTACTAGTTGGGAAACCCTCTGGGGAATACTCAGTGGCAAGATTGTTGGCACCAGTAGCTGTGGCATACTACCCACTATTGGACAGAATACCCAAGGCCAGCAAAATCGATAAAAACAAGAAATCGCTTTTCACCAACATCCCCTCGCTCTGGCTCTATGGAGACGAAGACTGGATGAACAAGGATGCAGGCAACTTGATAGTGAACGAGATCAACAAGGTGCACAGCCAGTTGGACCTCGAGGGCAAGAGCAGCAGTGATCACCTCTCGCAGTTCAAGATCATCTCCAAAGCTGGCCATCATGTCTACTTTGACAATCCTGCAGACTTCAAAGACGCCTTTTTGGAGTTCTCAGGCTGGTGAGACCTGTAGTTGTAGAAGCCTTATCTTATCTGGCCACTCTCCTCACCTCCATCGCTCCATCTCCTCGACGAGAAAGGAGCTGTTGGTGAATGGCTGAAAAGCCCACTGTCTTATGTAAGCGCTCTGACTCATTTTCCAGCTGCAGCTCCAACAAAAGAACCTTTCCAACACAGAGCTGCTGTGTTTGCTGATAACCTCCTGTAAGTTTCTCCATCGCAGCTCTTATCGTCGCCTGCTTTGCAATTGCCACAGCGCTGCTTTTCTATTTAAACTTTGTCGCTTCCCTCTTTTTTCACTGCTATTTTTTATGTCAATTTTTCCTCTACTTTCAAACAACACAAGGAAATACACACTCTCTCGCTGCTATCCATCTTCAATTACTCGTTTTAACCTCAATTATCACCTTAACCCTCTCCTCTTCAGAATGACCTTCTCAGCTACTGTTCAAAAGTTCCCTGACCCTGAGAACTGGAGCGCTACCAAAGTTAGAAATACCTTCATAGACTACTTCAAGGACGTGAAGGACCACACTTTTATCCCCTCATCCTCTGTAATCCCCTACGATGATCCTACTCTCTTGTTTGCTAATGCTGGTATGAACCAGTACAAACCTATCTTCCTCGGTACTGCTGACCCAAATTCAATATTCTTCAACTTGAAAAGAGCTGTTAATTCTCAAAAATGCATAAGAGCCGGCGGTAAGCACAACGATTTAGATGACGTTGGTAAGGATTCCTATCATCACACTTTCTTTGAAATGTTGGGTAATTGGTCCTTTGGTGACTATTTCAAAAAGGAAGCAATTGAATGGTCTTGGGATTTATTGACCAACGTTTATGGTCTTCCCAAAGATCGTCTCTATGTTACTTACTTTGAAGGTGACACCAAACAAGGTCTCGAACCTGATTTAGAAGCTAAACAACTATGGGAGAACACTGGTATCGATCCTGATCATATTCTTCCCGGTGACGCCCATGATAACTTTTGGGAAATGGGTGACCAAGGTCCATGTGGTCCATGTTCTGAGATCCATTACGATAGAATTGGTGGCAGAAATGCTTCTCATTTAGTCAATCAAGATGATCCAAACGTTTTAGAAATCTGGAATAACGTTTTCATGCAATATAATAGAGAGGCTGATGGCTCTTTAAGATCCTTGCCCGCTAAACATATTGATACTGGTATGGGGTTCGAAAGATTAGTATCGGTTTTGCAAGATGTCAAATCAAATTATGATACTGATGTTTTCCAACCTTTATTTGAAACAATTCAAAAAATCACAAATGTTAGACCTTACAAAGGTTATTTTGGTGAAGAAGACGTCGACGGAATTGACACTGCTTATAGAGTCTTAGCTGACCATGTAAGAACTTTGACTTTTGCAATTGTTGATGGCGGTGTTCCAAATAGTGAAGGTAGAGGCTATGTCTTGAGAAGAATCTTAAGAAGAGGCTGCAGATTTGCAAGAAAATATATGAACTATCCAATCGGTAAAGAACCCTTTTTCTCCAAATTGGTTCCAACGTTAATTGACCAAGTCAAAGATATCTTTCCTGAAATTACAAAGAACACTGATAACTTATTTGAAATATTAAATGACGAAGAAAATTCTTTTTCTAAAACTTTAGATCGTGGCGAAAAATTGTTCTCAGAATATGCTCAAAAGGCCTTGAAATCAAATGACAAAACACTCAACGGTAAAGATGTTTGGAGATTATATGATACATATGGTTTTCCAGTTGATTTAACTCAAATCATGGCCGAAGAAGCCGGTTTAAAAATTAACCAATTTGATTTTGAAAAGGCAAAACAAGAAAGTTATGAAGCCTCGAAGGGTGGCTCTTCTACTACCGCTAAGGATAAAATAAAATTGGACGTATTTTCAATGAAAAAACTTGATGAAAATTCTCTCGTCGTTAAAACTGATGATAGCTTTAAATATACAACAAATGATATTCATTCAAAGATTTTAGCCATTTATGACGGCAAGGAATTTACGTCCTCTATCAATACCACTCCAGAAAATAAAGAATTCGGTATTGTTTTAGATAAAACACCCTTTTATGCTGAATCTGGTGGTCAAGAATATGATACAGGAAGATTGGTTATTGATGGCCAGTCTGAATTTGTTGTCACTAATGTCCAACTCTATGGCTCTTATGTTCTTCATACTGGTTACCTAGCTGAAGGTTCTTTATCCGTTTCAGATCAAATAATCGCCTCATTTGACTTGGATCGTCGTTTACCAATAAAGAATAACCATACTGGTACCCATATTCTTAATCTTGGTTTACGTTTAGTTCTTGGTGATTCAATTGACCAAAAGGGTTCTTTAGTTGCTCCAGATAAATTAAGATTCGATTTCTCTCACAAAAAGCCTGTATCTATTGATGAAATCCAAAAAATTGAAGAAATTTGTAAAGACCAAATTAAGAAAAATCTTGCTGTCTACTCAGAAGATGTCTCTTTACTTAGCTCAAAGGCTATTTATGGTCTAAGAGCCGTATTTGGTGAAGTCTACCCAGACCCAGTTCGTGTTATTTCAATTGGTGTTCCAGTTCAAGAATTATTAGAAAATCCTGATAATAAAGAATGGTACAGTTATTCTGTTGAATTTTGTGGTGGTACTCATGTTCCAAAAACCGGTGAAATTAAAGACTTAATTATTGTTGAAGAAAATGGTATTGCCAAAGGAATCAGAAGAGTAGTTTGCTATACAGGTGCTGCCGCCTTTAAATATCAAGAAATTGCTTTAGCAATGAATAGTCAACTTGATTCAATTAGTGTATTACCATTCGGCGAAATTAAAGAAAAAAAATTAAAAGAATTTGGTGTCGAATTAAATAAATCATCCATTTCTCTCTTATCCAAGAATGAATTAAAAACAAAATTCTCTAAAATAGATAAGGCCTATAAAGATGAACTTAAAAAGAAATTAAAAGCTGAAAGTAAAAAAACACTCGATACTGTTCAAGGTTACTTCAAAGAAAATACTGATGCTAAAATTTTAGTTGCTCATGTTGATATATCATCTAACGGTAAAGCTATTACTGAGGCTTTCAATTATTTAAAAAAGTCAGCAAAAGATAAAACAGTTTATTTGGTCACTGGCAACAAATTTGACAAAAAAATTGCTCATGGTTGTTATGTCTCTGATTCTTTACTATCTCAAGGAGTAAAATCAAATGAAATTACTGATTTAGCCAGCAAGTTTATTGGCGGTAAAGCTGGTGGTAAAGGCAATATTTCCCAAGGTATGGGTGATAAATTTGATGGTATCAATAATGCTGTTTCACAAATTACAGAACTTTTAAATCAAAAATTAAACTTATAGATTAAATTCCTGTATTGTTTGTTTTACATTTTTCTCGTTATATATTATAGCTTTAATCAGTCTCATGAATGTAAGATATTATAAGCTGACTGTATTAAATATATTAGCTAATCCAAGAAAAATTTTCATTACTAAAAAAAAACCCAACAATAAGCAAGTAAAAATATTAAAAAGGTTTAGATGATGAAAAAAATAAACAATCCATATAATATGAAACAGTAAATATAATTCCAATTAAAATTAAATTCAATTGTAAATTGGTTGAATATTATTAATTCCTGAATTAAGAAAAACATAAAATATATATAATAAAATAAATTAATAGGCAAAAAAAAAAAAAAAATACTAATAAAACATTCAAAGAAAATGGAAAGGAAAAAGACATAAGTATAAGTGTGATAGTTGAAAACAGATAAAGTCAAAAAAATATGATCAAAATAATTTTTTAAAAAAGGATATCTATTAATTTGAATTTGAATTTAGAATTGGAGCTGCAATTGTAGCTGAATTTGGGTTTGAGATAGAATTTGAATCTGAATTGATAGTAGTAGTGGTTCCTGTATTTCCATCACCACCTCTTAATGGTTTTATGATTCTTAATTTCAAACCAGCTCTTCCATTTACTGTGTTTCTTCTGCTTAAAGATGGAGAGATAATGCTCCTTGAAGAGCCGTTCAATGAAGAAGATGAATTTGAAGACATGGTAGTAGAAGATCTGATACTATATCTATTTGAATTTCGATTCAGTTTTGGAAAATGAAAGGGTATAATTCCATTGGAATCTGGAGAATAATCGTTATCTTCCTCATTAATGCTTTGATTGAAAGAAAAATTCGAAAGCAAAGAATTTCTCCCAACTAAACCGTCAGAATTAGCAGTTCCATTATTGATCATTGTAGAAAGTTCATCAACCTGTCCCATATTGAACCCACTCAAAATTTGAGAAGGTGGTCTTGAGTTACGTGCTCCAATGTTTTTAACAGCACTCAATCGATCTCTTAAGAAAGATAACTTTTGTTCGAAATTTTGACTTTCTCTAGCAACATGCAACTGTTGTTCTTGAACTGTGGCTTCTAGGATTTTAATTCTTTCACTTCTTGTCTCACATATTTTTTTAATAGAAATGATATCTCTTTTTAAGACGTTATTTTGCAATTCCATTTCGTTAATTTTGTGATTGAATTGATCCAAAGTTCTTTCTAAAGCCATTATTTTTTTCTTTTCAGCTTTTGACAAAAGTTTCTTTTTGAATTTTTCTTTTAGATGATCTATTTCAACTTCAAGGTCAGCTACTTTTTGGCATCTTTCTTGAAGGTCTTTTAACAAAGCTTCGTTATTATTTTCGGCTTCTATTAAATTAGATTTCAATCTTTTTATGATTAATTCTGAATTATCACGAGAATTATCTTTTGAAATGGGTAGAATGGGCACTTTTTCAGCAAGTGTTTCTTGATCAAAAGTTAGAGAATCGGCAGGGCTTAAAGGTGATTGATTTTTAGATAATTGAAGTAATCTCTTTAATCTTTCAACTTCCTGTTTTAATAAATGGTTTTGGTAATTTGATTCTTTTAATTTTTGGGATTCCAGATCTGAAATTAAAAAATCATTATTTAAAGTATTTTCGATTTGAGCATGTTGTTGAAGTCTTTCAGGGTTTTTAGAGTTTTCCATTTTATCAATCTGGCCTACTTGATCGGTTTGATTTGAATCAACTGAAGAAGAAGATATATCTTGAGTACCATTAATTGAGTCGTCATTATCATCATTAATGGTTGTTAGAGTTAACCAATTTGAACTTTGTGGAGGATTCCCAGATCTCCAAAGAATTAACTCTTGTTCTAATTGATTAATATACTTTTGATGAAACTCGTTATTTTTAGATAAGATGACAACTTTTTTCTTCAATTCACTGCTTGATAATTCAGTATTAATATGTGCTTTATTTTGTATTTTTTTAGCTCTTGCGCCGAATCTTAAAGTTGATAAAGTTTCCATATCATTTAATTTTGAGGGAGAACAATTTATGATAAGACTTGTTCTTGAATTACCACCAAGGGATTCTTGTAAAATTCTAGTTAATTTTGAATCTCTATAGGGGATATGAGTTGATTTACCATCAGTTAGAGCGTTAATAACATTACCTAAAGAACTTAGAGAACTATTGATTTTTTTAGCTTCTTCCAAAACTATTCCAGATGCGCCAGTTTTACCAACTTTTTCAGAGCCAGCCAAATCAACTAAGAATAAATTTCCCTTTTTTATTGTACCGGAGCTTATGATTCTTTGAGTTAACTCTATTTGAAAAATAGCATGAGATCTTGAAGACTCTTGATTCATACTTGTTGAAGAAACGACTCTAATTTCAGAGCCTTGTCTCATTACATCATAAATATCGTCGACAGATGAAACATATATTTTTTTTAAGCCTTTGACGTAGATGCCATTTTCTTTATCTTCATGAATGGATAATTTAGCCTGAGATCTTGGAGATACTAATAAATCTCTAATTTGTTCCATATAAATTTCCATATAGGAGACACCAACAGTGAATTCGATATCTGAACTTGAATCAACGATATATTCAAAGATTCTTTCAGTTATTCTTGGGATTAAGCCCTTTGAATCAATATCTTCGATATCTTTGCCCATCATTGTGTAAGTCTTTCCGGAGCCAGTTTGGCCATAAGCAAGAATGGTTCCATTATAGCCTTTGAATAAATCGTTGACAGTTTGATTGATGGAGTAATCAAAAATTTCCAATTGAGTTGAAGCTTGAGAAAAGACTCTATCAAAAGTAAAGGAACATGTAGTATCATTTGATTTAAAATTGACAGTTTTATTAGAAGAGAAAGTGACAACTTGAGAAGCAAAAGGATCAGAGAGCTCTTGTTCATTTTCAGGTCTAAATCTAGCAATGACCTTGACATTGCCAGTATTTGTGTTTGAAGCTGTGTTTAGACTCAAACTAATGGTATTGCTCAGCACTTTGGATAAGGACTCAAGGTAAGGACTTGACATTTGAGTGATGTTGTTTGTATTACTTGTATTGTTTATACCAGGGCTGTTTATGTTATTGGGGCTGTTTATGTTATTTTTGATGTTATTGATGTTGTTTGAATCTAAATTTGTGATTTGAAAGGAATCAGATATGGAATTTATAGACAAGGAGTTCTCTATTGGAGATAGATGTGTGATATAAAGAGGATTGAAGTTGTTCTGGTTGTTTAGATTAGGAGAGGCAGAAGTAGCCATAGATGGAGTTGTAGGTATTGACAACGATGGCATTGAGACAGTAGGATGAGTTAAAGTGTAGGAGTTAAACAGAGGTATTAGAAGATGAAAGAGGCCAGTAAGCAGAGGATTTGAGAATAGGTGTGGACTGAGCTGTTGTTAGATGGTGGATATAGCTACGGTTATGGTTGTGATTATGAGATTATGAGATTATGGTTATAGTTATAGTTATAGTTATAATTATAGCTTTTGGTACAATTGGAATTAGTGTGATTACGATAAGTGGTCTAAATAGTGTAAGGTCGTAGATGGAGATATTTTTGGTAAATTTATAAATATTTACACCGCTGTTCAGCCAAAGAAGGAAAGAAAACAGGAGAAAATGTGCTGGAAATGTCTTTGAAGCAGGTTTCTGGGCTGGGAAGTTTCTAAAAAGAAGCAGTCGATGAGCAGATCAAAGAGCACTAGGCTGGCAATAGATAAGGAGCTCAAAGAAGAGCAAAACTATGGGAAAGGAGAGGTTTTGGGGTAAAGCACATCAAACCGGAGGAATATGTAAGGAGATACAATGAGAAGGAAAAGCAGTGCAGTGTAGTGGGAAGTAAAAAGAATAAATGGACTAAAAAAGATATATAGATTTTATATAGAAGGTTATTAACTAAGTTGAAAGGAGGTTGTTTTTATGTCGAGTGAAGGGTGATTAGTATAAATCGATATCAAGCAATACAAAAGGCTCGTAATCAGTGTCGACCAATGAAGCATATTGGTTTAATGAGGAATCCTTCAATAGCTTACCATTTTTGTCCTTCATAAAAGCGTTACCACCCAAGTAACCAAACTGTTTAATTAGATCGTTTTTACATTTGATGAGAGTTTTCTTGGATTCAGATAAATTGGAATAATTGCTTGATCTAATTAAAAACGAGTTGAAATTTGGAGGTAAACCGTATCTTAGGATACTTTCAACAAAGACTCTGAGAGATTTGATGTGAAACCAGGCAGATAGAATATATTGATAGGATGTCTTTGATAATCTTATTAACTCTGCCTTTAATTGGTATTCTTGTCTGGAAGCTTGATCGAATTCTCTTTTCAATTGATTGATTAAATTTTCAGAGTAATTGAATTCTCTTGGTATGAATTTCTTTTCTCGACAGTTGAGCAAGAATTCTGGGATGTATTTTTTGAAAACCGTTACATTATTCAAGATATAATCATCATCATTGAAGATTTCTTGAGAAGATCTTGGTACGACAAAATCTGAAAGAGATTCGTAGGAATTCAACCAATCTTTTTGTAAAGCCTTGGGAACGACAATTAATAAAGTGGATAAATGGTCAGAATTTAACACGAAATTTTGTGGACCAACTATATCATGTAAGGATCGGACGGTTAAATCACCATTCTTTTTCCTGTTTGCAGCAGATAAATTTGTCTTTGCAACGTTGTAAGAGCTATACAAGCTCTTCAAGTCGTTATCCAAATCAAAGGCGTCACTTGATATTAAGTCGGTTAGTTCTTTAATTGATTTGTTTTCGATTCTGTATTTTGAATAGTTCCAATTAAAGGATTCGACGAATTCAATTGGAGATTTGTTGTTGAAGGATTTGTTAGCATTTAATAGATGAAGATTGTTGTCATAAATTGTGGATAAGATATCGTTGATTTTTTGCAAAGAGGCAAATAGCTGGGAGTCAATTTTACCTAAATCTTCAGATTCTTCAACTAGGGAGTCCAAAGTTCCAATTCTAAAAGAAGGAATGTTGAATTTCGATATAATGGACTTCCCATTAACAAGAGATTGCTCCAAGTATGTCTCCAAGTTGTTGAAGCCAGCGGGAGTGGAATCCTCAGGCAAAGAGATGAACAAGAAGTTGCAAAGAGGTTCTGCCATTAGCAAAGCGAGGTAATTGGCAATAATTCAGGAGAAGAGGAAGATAGCCACAGACAACCAGTGCTTGTTCTGGTTCGTATTCTTATTCTTACTCTTGTTCTGATTCTGTTTCCTGAAGAACTTTAGAAAGTGCTGCAAAGAATCGGTGGTATACACGTGACCCTTCGCAGCAGAGGCTGAAGAAGCAGGGAAAGGACGTGTATGGGTATGGGTATATAGATATGTATGTAGAAAGAGAGGAAGAGAGAGAGAGAACTGAACGTGGAGAGACAGAGCAGCTAGCTATAGTATAATGATATAACACAACTGGTGGTTGGCAGATGAGATAAAGAGATGGAAAAAAAAAGAGAGAATTAAATGGGTTGCCTCTTGGGCTGGAAGAACTGCTCGCCATTTTTGAGACCTAGGATGGTTCTGACATCGTTCGTGTATCTCAAGGCCTTTAGTAGTGGGATTAGCTCCAATAGTTCCACGTCAGTTGGATCATTAATCCAACCCTCGATTCTTATAGCGTTTTCTAGGTTTTTGGAGTAACTTATGGGAGAGTTATCGATCATGATGACTTTGGATAAATGTGTGTTTAAAATTTTCAAGTCTTTGATGTAGCCAATACCATTAATGCCTTTGTTTAAGGTGCAGTTGTCTCTGTAGAGTCTTTTTTGGAAGTAGAATTTATCCTTTTCTAGTAGATTTATAATGGGGTCTGCGTATTCCTTGACTGAAGCAGTAAAGATGATTAGATTGAACCATTGGCTTACTATGTTTAGGAATTCGTCACAATAGGGTCTCTTGTAGACGTAGTATAGGGTTGGAATATTATTATTGTTTAGCTTGACTTCTACCATATGAGCAGAAGAGGTGATAGATAAACGGCTTGATTTTGATAGAGAGTGGATAAGAGTTTCATCCAAATCGAGGATTAAAGTTTTTTTAGGTGTTTTCAATAGTTGAGCAAAGTTTATTGTGTAGAATAAAGCACTAGGCAAGTTTTTTGTTATATTTGGGTTGATTGAAGTGGAAGTGGAAGTAGGTGATTTTATGTCATTAGAATTGAGAGAATAGTTTTTCTTAAAGATTTTCTCAGCATTGTTATTATTATTATTATTATTATTATTATCATTATTATTATTATTATTATTATTATTATTATTATCATTATTATTATTATTATTATTATTATTATTATTATTATTATTATTATTATTATCATTATTATTATCATTATTATTATTATCATTATTATTATTATTATTATTATTATTATTATTATTATTATTATCATTATTATTATTATTATTATCATTATTATTATTATTATTATCATTATTATTATTATTATTATCATTACTATTATTATTATCATTATTATTATCATTATTATCATTATTATCATTATTATCACTACTAATACTACTGGTAGTAGTGAGGGAATCATTTTGGGATATAGGTTTTACTATATTTTTATTGTTCTTAATAATATTAACAGTATTATTAATGTTAATATTATTATTATTATTATTAAAATTATTATTGTTATTATTAACATCATTATTATTGGGTATTATGTTATGATTGGTATTTATGTCTTTTTTGATTTGATAATTAAATTTAAAATCGAAAAAGAGTATAGGGTACAATAGGAGATAAGAAATGAAAGATAGAAGCTTTAAAAGTAAATTTAATGGAAAGAAGACAAAAATATAGAGTAACGAGTTTAGTAGGTTTGATAATCTAATTAAAAAGTTATAATTATCATAGTTATCATTATGGTTAATATTATGGTTATCATTATTTATATTATTTATATCGTTTATATTATTTATATCGTTTATATCGTTTATATCGTTTATATCACTTATGGTGGACATATTGTTAGTAAGGTTTGAATTTTGAATAGTTATTAGAGTGTTATTGTTATTGTCATTATTGTTATTGTCATTATTGTTATTGTCATTATTGTTGATGTCATTAATGTTAGAAAAAATTGATTGAGAAGATGCAGAAGTTGAAGAAGTGTTTTGCAATTGGGAGAAGTTATTTTGGTTTTTTATTATTGAGTTGTGGTGACTGGCAGCACTATTAGTGGGGTTAATGGTGTTAATGGTGTTAATATTATCAAGCGTAGCGATATTTTTTGGTTGATTCAAGTCAGTGTTGGTTGTTAGGGTTGTATTGTTTTCATTATTATCATAGGTGTCAATTAGAGTAATATTTTTTTTGTCGTCGGTTATATTTAGATCAGAATTTATGTTATCAACGATTTCCTTGCCAACTATGAAAGCCTTATCAACTCGATTAGCCAAAAATTGAAATGAATTCATTTGAATTAAAAAAACATAAATGGGAAAGGTAAAACCGGAGCCAGAGAAGTGATAGAGGAGTGATAAGGAAGTGATATGGCTGATGGTTTGAATATGGTTGAATACAGGCTATTTATACAAATCTGGTGTGGAAGTATTTCGTTGATGAGTACGAGTGTGTTGGGGTTCAACAGAACGACGAGGGAAGGAGCGAGGACTGGAGCTACTTATCAAGAACACAGTAAGAGCACAGTAAGAACAGCCAATCAATTGCCAATTTTGCACAAAAAACGAAAGAATCCCCAGGCTATTATGGTATTGTACAATGGCCTATAGTGGATAATAATAGACTGTAAGAGCTTGCAAGAGATTCTCAGAGAGCAATGGACTAAATAAAATAGAGTGGGTCCTAGAAGAGAGTAGCTCAGAAGTCCCAACAGCTTCCAACAGCCTTCGATAACCAAGAGTTGGGTTGCGCTCCAGAGCAATCTCGCCCAACGACACCATCACTGTTTTGCGCGCCTTCTGCGCTGTGTCCCTTCTTCTGGGTCGGCAACTGGAGCATTTCCTTTCGGGTCGGTCTCTTTGGCCACCAATCACCACACTCGGCCCGCTCTCTGCGCGCACGCTGTGCGTCCCAACACGTCAGCCCCAGACTCGTGGCCGTGGTGCGCACCGTGCTTTTCGGGGCATTTCCTGGAACCGTTTTCCTGGTCCTGAGGCTGCTTGATGGGTCATTTATTCCTGAGTCCACCGACTCACCTGTATGTACCGCGCGACGTCGGCAATGTTCACGTCGATGTCGGAGTAGCCTTCTTCCACAATCCACTTCGGTGGTTCCCCGTGCTCCCCGTGCTCCCCGTGTTGCTCGCTCTTGCCTCCAAAGTGGCCGTGAAGCAAGTCGCAAGTGTGGCCTATCACCAACAATCCCGGTGGCCTGGATCCCGCTACCTCAAAGGCCTCCACAACATTTTTCAACTGGCTGCGGATAATGCGCTGGTCAGGGCTCGACGCTCTCTCGACGATGCAACAGGGCACCTCCGTGTCGTACCCCAACTCGCCCACCAAGTAGCCCACCATCTCCCTCAAGCGGTGCAACACCATCAACAAGATGACAGTGGTGTGCTCGTTGTACCGGGGGATGTTTGCGGGAAACTTCCCGTCCTTCACGGTGCCCGTGCTCACGATAAACTGATCACTCACCTTGCGGTGCGTCACCGGAATATCCGCCAAGATGGGTCCTACCATCGAAGAGCTCAACCCTGGAACGATCAACGGCCTGTACCCTCGATCTCGAAAGTACTGATACTCTTCTCCTCCTCTGCCGAAGATGTATGGGTCTCCCTGCTTCAATCTGATCACTTTCAATCCCTTTTGCAACCCTACCAATCCCTTCTCCAACAACTCCTTTTGTGCTCTCTCGGCGTTTCCTGGAAATTTCTTTGCAATGTAGATTTCCCGTTTTCTACCACCACCATCTTCATCTTTGCTTATCAATTCCAATACCTCTTTCGATATCAACTTGTCTGCTAATATCAAATCTGCTGAATACATCTCTTTAATTGCTCCGATTGTTAGCATCGATATAGATCCAGGCCCTGATCCGATTAACGATATTTTCCCTTTTTTTCTGTATCCATTCCCATTCCCATTTCCTTTTCTGTTCAACTTTTCTGGTTTCTTGCTTCTTATGCTAATCTCGCCATGAAATGTACTTATATCTGGAAACTTTTTGTTCAATGCCAATTGATCTTCTTTATCTTTATAAATTAACGATAACTCATCAATGCATATTTCACTCAACTTTTCTAATGGAAAATACTCAATGATTTGGGATAACCATCTGGTTCTTTGCAACTTCAATTCTTCCTCATCAACATATTTTCGATACAAATTTTCCTCCCGATAATCTTTATCATATATTTTATTGATTCCATTGCTCGGTAAGATATCTTCCTCATTATCATTATCATAATCATTATCATAATCATTACCATCACTATTATTATTACATTCATTGCTATTTTCATTATCAAGTCTACTTTTATCATCTTCTTGGATTCTCTTCTTCAATTTTCCTATATTATCGCATATCCCACTCAAATTCTTTGGCAATTTACTAACAATATCCCTCTTGAGCTTGGACGCTAACCTGCATCCCTTCCCATTAGTCGTCAATCCAACCTGAAAATCTCCATCTTTATAACTCGACAACATTGTAAATGAACACAACCCTGGCTCATCTGTGATATTGATGGGTATCCTTAATCTTATACAAACTCCATATATCTCTCTTTTCAACTTTTCATACTCTTTTCCCAATGTAACAAATACTCTATCAATTATCCTTCCAACTCTTTCTCTTCCAACACTCTTTATTATTTTTTCAATTAGTCCAATCCTCATTTTCTCTGATTCAATCTCAATTACCTCAACTATACCCTTGTTCTTATTCTCTAAAATATACTCTCTTAATGTACTGCTAACCTCCATAATACCATACGGTATCAATATTATAGGTCTCACTTTGTTCTCAATCAACATTTGTAATCGAAATAAACTAATTCCACTGGTCCCAATTAACAAATGTCGCTCATCTTCACAATTTAGTCCAACCAATAATTTAACCATTTTGAATTTATTAATAATTGCTAATAATTTTCAATAATTATCACTCCCTAAGAAAAAATAATTAATTAATTATCTAATAATTCGATTTCTCTTGAACTGCCTTTCTATTTATACTTCATCTCCTCATCTTCTCTCATTTTATCCCATATGCTTTCATCAAATAACCCAATAAAAAGATCAATACAAAAGAAAATCATCGCTTTTCTTTTCTAATCCGAAAAAGCGAAATTTCACGTGTCTTGCCACCATTAGCCACAAACTATCATCACCTGCTCCTTTGGGCGAATGGAATGGCTGGTAATAGCAAATCACATGGCGCTCATTTCTAACCCATTTCCTCTTTCACTTCTTCCACTTCTTCTGCTGCTCCTGCTGCTCTTCCCATCAATGCCTCCCATTGTCACTGACTCAGAAAAGGTTCTCAACTCTTCTTTACTACAAAATTGGCTACTTGACTCAATTCTAATTTATATCCAAAAAACTTCAATCCCCATTAAACGTTTCAACAATCAACCTAAAAATTGTAATTTACTAAAATTATTGAAATTTATTAAAATCGATACCAATGGCATTGTAAAAGCTTTGCTATCTGATTCCTCTCATTCAATCTTATGTGAATTTTCAAAAAATGCCATTTCAAATTACGAAAGAAAAAACAAATCAAGACTAACAAACTCAACTACAAACTCTATATTCCTAATTAAAAACTCAACTCTACTTTTCTTAAATTACAATCAATTAATCAATCAATTTGACTTTATCCCATACAACACCACTGACAATAATAACAACTCCAGCTCCAATCCCAACTCTAAAATACAATTTGCAGTCTTAAGAATTGAAGATTTCGAAATCGCTGATAAAAATCAAATTCGCTTTTTGAAATTGCCAATTACTTTGTATTCAAGTCAAATTTATAAAAACCAATGGCTACAAAATGATCTCTTTTCTTTTAAACTTTTCAACAAGAATGAAATTTTTGATGATTAATTAAAAATTAATTCAAATTAAATCAAATTGGTTTTTTCATTCGAAAAAGTATATACAGTTTGGGAAATGAGTGGAAAATTACGTTATATTATATTGGATGTATAAACAGAGGAGTAACAACAAAATAATAAAATAACAAAATAATAAATTAGAATAGGAATAGGAATGGGAATAAGAACAAGAACAAGAATAGGAACAAGAATAGGAACAAGAATAGGAACAAGAATAGAAATAGGAATAAACCAGAATCAAAACAAATTAACAATTAGTGAAAAGCATCGACCAGCAATAGATTAGTGGAATAGAGGAATAGAGACTAGTGGAATAGAATGTAGAAAAAGACATATAACAAAAAATATAACAAAACATATAACAAAACATAGAATATAGAAATGGACAACAAAAATGTAATATAATATAATATAGTATAGTATAGTGTGGTGGAAACGAAATATTAATAATAGCCCTTGAGGCTTTCCAACTGGTCTTGATACTCAAGATATACCAACTCAGCCATAGCTTGACGAAAAGCATCTTTATTGTAATTGCGCTTTGAAGTGTGTGGTTGTTTGGACTTGAATTGGTTGCAATAGGCATCAGCAGCAACAACACCATTGTCGTTGCCACTGTTATTACCACGACGATGTGTCTTGGAGACAATCGAGTTTCTGAGCTTTCTCACACATCTTTTGAAAGCTGCTCTTTTGGAGACAGCATAGTTGAATGTGTCAGCGTATTTGTATTCGCTTTCATCGATTTCGATGGAGGGATCAAATTGCTTCAAAACCTGTTGTTTCTTGGAATGTCTTTCATGAGCAGCAATGACCAAGTTGTTGATGTCCATTTCCTTTTGGAGGATTTGCTGTCTGAGCGTAAATTGTGACTTTTGTTTTTCATCCTGTAGCTCTGACTCAACATCAGTACCATCAGTTGTGACTGAGTCCTGGCTGCTGAGGTCAGAGGCAGCATCATCGCTGTAAGTAGACAACGACTTTGAGTAAATAGAAGAAGAAGAAGAAGAAGAACAGTTAGAAATAGGAATTGAAGTAGGAATCGAAATAGATGGCTTTTCAGCAGCAACAGATGGTTTGTTGACAGCAGTAGATAGTTTGTTAATACAAGACATGTCAAAACGAGAATAAGTCTCATAACCAGCAGCAGTCAAACCCAATGGTGATAAAGTATCTAGATAGAAAGTTTTTGGCAAATAAGAACCAGAATCACAATCCGAATCCGAATCCGAATTAAAAGCAGAATCAACATCAGCTCCAGAAATACATCTGTTGACTTGAGCTCTTGATGGTTTGAGGTGGAAACGCTTCAAGCCATTGGCAGATGGATTAACTGGTGCAGCTAAGGAGGACATTGTGAACGAAGTCGACTAAAGTGATAGCAAGATAAGATAACAAACAAATAAAATTATTATAAGTTGTTATAAGTTAGACAGATTAATGAGTTATTGAGTTACTTTGGTTAAGCTGTGATAAGTGATTAATAGATGGAAAGAAAACAAAAAAAAATTTTTGGGAAAGAACTCGTTCTTTTATGTTGTCAGAAAACAGTTGTCTTGAGCATCTTAAGCACATTCAATGAATTGACACATGCAATCATATCAATGTTTGTAATAATCATTATTGATCATTGATATAATAACAATGACTGCTTTTAAAAGCAAAAAACGTAAAAAAAGATCCATATCATAAGACTGATCCAAACATAACGCTCGATGATTGGTGGAAAAGCACCAGATATAAAAAGCAATTTCCGTTTTAGGAAAGTGCACAAATCTCGGAGGAGATTAAAAATACAGAAAAAAAGCAAAACTCAGAATTGATTTTGATTGTTGCTGAACAGGCAACATTGTCATTGGATAGCTGGAAACACGATCCAAGAAACAACTTGCTTTTGAGCTATTATTGTTAGAGAAAAATTTTCTTGTTCAATAGAAATCCAAGCAA